TGGATGACCACTGACAAACCATTGAATAGCTGCTCTTGTAGTTTGAAATGCTCTCCTAAGTCAACACACAATGCTGCGAGCAATCCTGAACTCCACAGCCACACCTGTCAGACTTCAACCTTCCTCAATCTTTCCAATGATTTGACCTTCGGTAAAATTATCCAGATGTTAGATTGTTCAACATTTCACACTGAGGTAGCAACTCGATGTCGTTCAAACTGATATACGTCGTGAATCAGCTTCCCAGAACTCACACCACCAGTGATCTTTATACCCCTCCAACACTCCACAATTACATATAGCTGCATATATGTGCATGTCCCAAGTCAATCTCCTGACTGGTCTCTCAGTCCACTCTGCTGATAAGTTAATTTTTCAATTTACTCCTTAATTTTTGCACACCTGTGTACAGGGTTTGTACACATTTCTGTTAATGGAAATTAAGTACTTTTAAGGACCATTAATGAAAAAAAAAAAAAAAAAAAAAAAAAAAAGGGACCTATGAGCAATTGGGAACTGAATAAATTCAATAAAAAATATTACCTAAACTTCACTATTGTAATACCATAATAAAAATAAATAGATTCGTAAGTAGGCTACATTTCATTAAACATAACCTAATTAACATAATTATTGATAAGTTTTAGAATAAAATAAACTTTAGGAAATTTATAAAGTAGCATTAAATATTTTACACTTATAATAGCTTTATATATTTTGAAAGAAGATAAGTGACATTTTATTTATGTATTACTAACAGTTAGTTTATGTTTTTTTTATTATTATTATTTATTATTATTTTTTTCTTTATTATGTCTCACTATTGTCACATATTCGCTCAGTCTAGAGGTTTAGTAAATAGCTGGTAGATTTTATGTCAAGTGGCATAGTTAAAATGAGAAGTAAAATTACAATCGGCATGAATCATAACAAAAGACTGGCTGTTGTCACCGCTGCTGCTTGCTTAGAGAGACCTGCTGATCAGAACAAACCTGAAAGGCCAGATGTAGGGATGGCTGGGAAGTTTTGAAAGTTAGCTGGGTTCTGTCTGATGCAGTTAGCGTTGTAGCTTCGTGTAGAACTCCAGGAGTCGTAACCCAGTTAATATACTTTAAGGTTCTAATAAGCCATTAAAGCACCAGAGGTGATATGCAAAGATAATTTTTAAGGGTAAGCAGTTAGTTATAAATACTTAAATTAGGTAGTTAGATAACCTTAGTCATTACGGATTTACATGCCCACTATTAAATTTTATTTATTTTTTAACAATCTTTGTTAAAAAAGTCCTATTAAAATCCCACTCTAATAAAATTTCACAGTTTGAAATACATGTAATTTATGACACTGATTCTTAAATGATATTAGGATAATTACACATTAAATGCTACAAAACATTTATATTTTATAGTAACAACACACAACAAAATATTTAGGCATGTTTTTAATTTGAAGCCTTCCAAGATATTTTGGCTAATTTATATTGATTTCCTTCTCTTTAAGCATCTTTTCTAAAAATCAGAAATTTATCTCAATATGCAAACCAATATTATTATTATTAATTTCTGCTACAAAAGTCAGACAAATATTTAAATAAGCTTCTTATTTCAAAAGGACTTAAAACATAAAGGCATGTTCTTATGTTTAAAAACAAAAAAAAACAAAATTTACAGCTCATGGTCATGTAACTAAACAAGAAGAGTCTAATTCAAACTAAAAATGTGGACTAGTAGTCAAAGACTATACTATTTTATTTTAATTTAAGATGCTCAGTAACTCTATCGTCATAACAAATTCAAATGTCGGCAACTATAATGCAAAAACGAATAATTACAAATTGTCAGAGCTGGCAGAAACTAATGCAGCGACGAAGCAGAGGCCAGAAACACTGTCTTACACTCCAAAAACCTCAGTTTAAAAACTGCCTAAGTGATTTGCATTCTGGTGAGAAAATAGAAAGAAGAAATTATAGTAAAGCCTGAAATTATAAAAAACTGGGTAATTTAATAATAATAATACGTATGCTTGAAGAATAATTTTCTTCTTTATGTATTCAGTTTCTTTCTTCAACATGTTTCCTTTTCATGTTAGAATTTTTTGATTTAATTAAAGATTTCTAACATTATGAAGAAACTAAATGCATTTACAATGTATAAAAAAAGCTGCTAATTTTATTTCTTTAGTAATGTGAACATTCAGAAGAAAAGTGAAACATATATGGCAAGGGCCAGTTACATAGCTGGTATGGCAGAGCTTTTAGAATTTAGTAACTCAACTAGAAACAAAAAGCAACAAAAACTAGAAATGGCAAATCTTTAAAATTGAGAGCAGGCATTGGAAGCAAAATTTAGAAAGGCACTAGGCATCAGAATTTAGGATCTGCAGAGATTGCATTAAGTGGGAAAATGCCTAGTGCCAGCTCTGTAGGTAATGCATTAAGACATATTAGATGAATCTTTTAAATTGTTAGTTTTAAATTTTTTTATTAATGAAAAAATTCCGTTCTGTAATGCCTCTCCATGTGATATGATTAGAAGCATTTCTGAAATTTTCAATGCTTGTGTCTAGTGAAAAATAGAGAAAATAAAGGGAAGTTAACATGTTAAGAAAATGATCTTAGTATCAGAAGGAAAACGTTCAACTATTATGTTTTCATTGTTCTTCCAGACGTTCTTTAAAAAGTAAGATCAATACCATGGATCAATACTATGGAGCCATTTTTCTGGAATTGTGGGTCTATAAATCTTGCCTTCAAATCTTTCTAAACTTTCCGAGTTGCAATGGCTTAAATCCTAAAGAAAAATTCCTCCTACCAATTCTGTAACAGCAAAAAGCCAGAAATATTTTGGGAGGGGGGAAAAATCAAAGGGAAAAGTGTAAAATTAATTTTATAGAGAAAACTGATGCATATTCTGAGACAATTATAGGGAAAAAACTCTTAGCATGAACAAATTAAAAATACATTTAATTAATTACATAGCTATTTTGCTCTTGCTAAGAGCAGTTTCATAAATTGTGTTTTATAGCATAACTTGTTTATTTTTCAGATTCAAAATATTGTACACTAACTGGCTAAAATGGAACTTCATATAATATGATTTTAATGTTTTTTTTTGTTATTTTAATATAATTCATATATTACCATTATATATTAATGAAATTTATCAATGTTACAACGTTTTTAAAAAAATCATCGACAAATTTCCAGCTCTCAGAATTAAAAAAATTTCTATAAAAACTGAATTTAGAACAGCTTAATAAAAAAATTCACATCCCCAAAAGCAAAAAGTTGTTAAAGAGCTCTTCGTTAAAGAAAATGAAATAATTTCGAAATGCTTATATTTCACTTCTTGCTCAGAAACTTTAGTATCCCACCATTTATATTAGAAATAGGAAAAAATAATAATAAACCATGAACACATTCAAAAGATAACCATATTTGTCGGTGAATCACCAAAACTATTCCAATGAGAATTCACACTCAAAATGGCAGTAGTAAAAACAGACAGAAATTTCAGATGATTAAAATTAAGGACCTTCGGCCAACATGAGCCAAAATTAAGGACTTTTAAGGACCAAAAATCGATTCCAAAAAACCTAAGGACTCTTAAGGACCATATGAACCCTGAGTATACTTCACTTATCACATCCGATAATAAAAGCAAAAAAATAATAATTAAAAGAACTCGTAATAACAGATATAATTTGCAATATCAATCTGTTAAGGAAACACTAAGTGGCCTGTGCTTTGATGAAAGAAAAGACAATTAAAAAAAAAAAAAAAAAAAACTTAAAGCGTTTTTGAAGAACTGAAAAAGAGGACTATTATTCTTTCATACAAGAACCAAAATAAAAATATAGAGATAAGAGAAGGAACATTGTGAACAAAGACATCAAAAATATGTTACACCCAGGCTGTAGAACAGTGTGTTAAACTTGTGACCGAAACATCTGAAAAGGCGAGTGATGTTGATGCAAGAAATGGCTTGATTAAGATGAACCTATTATCATGATGTATTATGTGAAAATTTTCCAAAAAAATTACTCTTTTGAATAATAAAATATAAATAAATAAATACATTCACCATTTTTTTAATAAAAATGAAAAAATAAAATTACTAAAAATTACAAAATATTGCTGTTTTTACAAAAAATTGTGTTTGGGGGCATTTTGTGCTAACAATGAATACTCTGAAATTACAGAATTTAAGCTTTTTTTCACGTTCTTCATGCCCTAATATTTGGATTAGGAACAACTGCACAAGTTACATAATTATAAAAATTTGAGAAAAAAGGGAGGAGCAATATTTTGCTGTTTTTCAAAACTCTGAATGCAATTCATGAACAGAAGACATATTTTTATATGAAAACTTTTTTTTTATTTGGCTTAGCTAGTGAATAATTTTTTCAGGGTATAGCGATACAGCAGGGAAAAAAAAAAAAAAAAATTTTTGCTCTGCCTTGATGTGCACACACACATATAAAAAAGAACAGCATTTTGAAGACCTCAGATTACTTACTATCCCTACACAACTAAATTTAAAACAGAAGGGAAAAAAAATTAAATGCATCAAAAATTAAAAACACAAATGACTGTAACAGTTAGATAACATATGGCATTAAATACATCTTTAATAAATAATAACAAATCTGTATATGTTCACAAAAACTGTCAACTGAGTACATTATTAAAAAAGTAAAATAAAACATTTTAATTATTAAGAAGTGTATTTATAAATGCAATGCTTTGAAAATTAACTATGGGTGACAAAATTAAGGTTTTATCATTCCAATAGTGGCAACACTTGCCAAGGCTACTTTTAAATTTTTTCCATTCTTCTTGCCCATCAGTTTCTAAGACAATTTTAACTACTGATTTTAATTTGCCAGAGCGGAATTCTATATATTAAGTGAAAACTATACACTTACTTCAAAGTATAATAGACATATAGTGCCCAGTCAATTTATGTGATTCCATTTAAAAGAAAGAGAATGTTACTCACCAAACTTATTATGAATATCCAAACAGCTGCAACACTAACAAACAGAGTTCCAATAAGATAAAATATCTTCCTAATGATTCCAGGTTCAATCAAAGATCTAGATTTAGAAATACAAAATATTTACACTAGTTAATACATTAACATTCTTTAAAGGATTAAAAAAAAGTATTATAGAATAGTTATGCCAAATTTAATCAAATTTTCCTGCCCTCCAAAAGAAAGTTTAAAAATAATTTTTTTTTTTTTTGGTAATCCTTTGCATATTTGTCAACCTACGACAATAAAAAATCAGGAGATTTTTTTAAGAAATCGGAGATTTTCACAATGTTAAAAAGACTTTTAAATGATGAAATATAGTTTTTAATAATGAATTAATTTTAAATAGTAACTAATCTTAAATGCAAGCAACCAAAATACCTACACATAAAAAAAAACATTTTACTTGCATCGTTAAGAAAAAAAAAAAAAAAAAAAACTTCAATCAGTTTTCGTACAATGTTATAAACAGTGGCAGATTTTGCTTCTTTAAGAAAGAACTTCATAAGTTTGTTCATAGCAATTGCCACGTAGGCCTGCTTTCGCTAATAAAAGTTTTTCAATTGTCGTCACTAATTTAGATCTAATTAGTCCTCGTTTTCGCAACAACACTAAAATCCTCTCACACTCTGCAATTAATATGGGGAACTGTCAGATGCCAACATAATTTAGACAGTTCACTATATTTTAAAATTCCATCAGCATCTTTCAGTTTTCCATTTAAACTCCACTGGGTGTCAATCCTAGCTGATTTATAACTTCATCCAAGTTTTCTAATTGTAACCTGCTGTTATGCAGCTGTGAAATGTTTCAATTTCCTTCCTTTAGAACTCCTTTCAGATAATAGTAAACATCAACAAGTGTTCATCCACATTTATGGTAAAAAGCTGCCCCTTTTCAGCTGCTAAATTTAGAGGTGACAGGTGCACCTCATAATCTGAAAATCTGAATTCCTTCTTAAGATGCCTGCAACACCAGTCTTCAACATGGTGCATATCGCACCAAGTGCAAGCAATTATCCAGAGGACTACATTTCTTTAAAGTTTTAATAATTAGCTGTGCTATAGTAAAGCCTGTCGTATGTCCTTCTAAAGTGGGGACAGAAAGTAAACTGCACATTTTCTAAACTCGGATTAAAAAAAGAAACACTAATGGATACAGTTTTTGAATCGGTATTATTGTTCCATCCGTAGAGAGGCAGAACGGAGCTGTTTTAATGCAATCAATACTGAAGATTTATTTTCAAACCATGTCTTAACAATTGCACCTGTTTCGGTCTTGCACTGAGTATTCTTAGCAATTTCACTATTGGGAACATTTTTCTAAATAAAGCTGCAGCATGATCCGATGCATTCAGTGGCAGGTTGTGCTCCAGTAAGAAGGCAGAGAACAGATATTCGCATCAACAACTTTTGGGCCTTCGCTTCCCAATAAAAATTAAATTTTCGTTTTTTCAAAACAACTCATTTGTCCTTGTGTTTTTGTGTAACGCACATGTTGAGAACATCTGCCTTCCACCATGCGAAATCGAAAAATCGCAATAACAGGCGGTACACATTGCAAATTTATTACATTTCTGAGGAAATAATGGAAGGAAAGCCAATTGTGTACGATTTTTGAAATGTACACGAGTATTTCACCTTTCTCGCAGGCAGATAGAAAAATTATAATTTCTAAGCTATTTTCCGAAGGCATTGTACTCACACACTCAGGACAAAATGACCGAAATAACTAAAGAACCCAAATAACAGCTTTCTTTGTCCTCATTGTTAAAGCAGGGACACGCATGGAGCACGATGCCCTTGGAGAACTGGAGAACGACGTTTCTGGATACGTATATGTCTCACTCACAAAGCGAAGTTATCTAATTCGCAAAGTTTTGTTTTAGATATATCTAGAGAAAATTCAATTGCTTTCAGACACCCAAAATCACTTTTTTTTTTGTTCATATAACAAAGTATTAAGCCAAGTTCCATAAAAATTGTGAGAAATTTTAAGAATAAGAAAAAGTCAGGAGAAATATTTTGTAAATCGGGTTGGCGGGAGAGCGGTCGAAAATCGGGAGTCTCCCGGCTAAGTCGAGAGAGTTGGCAACTCTGCCTTTGCTATTTGATCTTCTTATTATAACAGGATGAAGTATCTTGCATCTATGATATCAGGAAGAATTTTCAAATTCACATACTGAATAATACAAAACTAAACTTAAATAAGCTTAAACTTGGATCAGAATGCAATATCTGCTTTAAAACTATTTGTAATAATGGGAATGGATGAATCAACACAATTAATCATGTTCCAATATAGGAAATCCAATACAACAATTTTGCAGGTTATGAGGTGTTTAAATTTTAATTATTAATTATAATCTAATAATGATTTGGTCATCCTATAGCCCTCTATAAATACTGTAATAGACTTCAGAGAAAAAAAAAAAAAGAAGAAGAAGAAGAAGAAGCAGAGTTGCTGAATATACTACTTATATCATAATTGTAAAATATGGAATCAAAAATGTAAAATCATGTCCAATTTTAAACTGTAAGAAAGTGCAAATGTACAGAGCTTAATGAGCTGAAGCACTGTCTTGTATTTAAAAAACAACAGAAAAATTAATTGCAAGATACCATTTATTGAATTATAATAAATAACTACAATTATTAGGTTTCTCACAGCCTGGACAAACACTCTATTTGCTTTCCTACACTGGGATATAATTACCATATTTCCCGATGTATAAGACACACTTTTTTTTCTTTGGAAATATATCTGAAAAACGGGGTGCGTTTTACACACTGACACTCATTTTTGCACAACATTTATATCTCGAAATTTCCTCTATTCAGAGTTATGCGATTTTTTTTTTTCTTGTTTCTTTGCGGAGTGTAGGAATACTACAGTTCATTGAATGTGCATGCGCTGTCATCGACAATTACAACTTTCCAATTTTTGTGAAAGACTTTTATTTAAGTGTGGGAAATTTCTACTGTTTGATTTTCTTAAATTTGTTGGCAATTTATGGCTCTAAAACAACGTCGGCATTGCTATAACATAGCATACAAGCAACGTATGATTGCGTATGTTAAAGAACATGAAAACAGGGCTGTAAAAAGACATTTTGGGCCACCCCCAACTGAGAAAACGATGAGAACTTGGTGAAATCAGAAAGAGGATCTAAACAAAGCAACTCACAGTAAACATAATCTTCGAAGGGAAACTGCACAATGGCCTGAAGTTCAGGCAGAGCTGAATACTTGGAAAAACCACAGAAAATTGGGACTTTCAGTCTCTACAAAAATGATTATTCATCAAAAGTGATAGCAACTGATAGAGATATTGGCGATTTTACTGGATCAACGTCATGGTGCTCAAGATTCATGATGAGAAACCAGCTATGTATGCAGACTAAAACAAAAATATCGCAAAAGATACCAGAAGAATATGACAAAAAATTATTCAGTTTCATTGATTCATCATTAATGAATGAAAATGAGAAAATTTGAACTTGCACAGATAGGGAACATGGATGAGGTTTCTCTGACTTTTGACGTGTCCTCAAACAAAACTGTATATTCCAAAGGTACAAAAAATGTAAAGCTTCAGGGCACAAAAAAAAAAACTCACTGCTTTTTTCTGCTATTGATTTTTAAAAGGAAGACACTACCCAAAGAAAAATTATCTAAAGGAGTGTTTATACATGTTCACGTAAAAGGATGGATGGATGGAGGAGGAATGAAGTTATGGACAGATAAAATTTGGTCGAGGCGCCCTAGCGGACTGTTGAAGAAACCTGCCCTACTAGCATAAGATCAGTTTAGTCTTCACAGAACAGAAGATGTTAAAAATAAACTCAAAGAATTGAAAACTCAGCTGTAATTCCAGAAGGCTTAACTAGTCAGCTTTAAACCTTTAGATGCCTGCATTAATAAACCATTTAAGGTATTTATGAAGGAGAAGTGGAACAGCTGGATGCAGTCTTCAAATTTTAAGGTTACACCATTAGGAAGAAGGAAGAGGCCTAGTATTTTGCAAATTTGTGAATAGATCAAAGCTTCATGGGATGCTGTGAAAACAGTGAAAGTGGTTAAAGCATTTAAGAAGTGTGGCATTAGTTAATGCACTAGGTGGTACAGAGGGCAGTTTGTTATATGAGAATTCAGGTGCTAATTTAGAAGAGGTTTTAAGTGCCTCTTCACTTAGCTCTGGAGATGAGTGTCTGGGTTTCGATTAAAGAGATTAAAAGGTGTTCTTTCCCAGATAGATTGGGTATTTGCAGAAAGTATTACTTTGTATTTGTATTACTTGATACTTAAAATGCTATAAATTCATTATAACGATCAGTAATAAAGTTTTATCCTTCAAAATATGTATAGAAAAGGGGTGCATCTTATATGCTGGCAAATATGGTAATTGTATTGAATCCAGCCATCCACATTGTGAATGAATTCAAGGCAATACATTCCAAGTTTCAGTTTTTTTGCTTAAGTCCATTTTGTAGCTTTTACACCTGCCTTTTGGACATTTCCTTAGGGGGGAAATTAAATATTAGCATTCTTCTCCCTTTTCTATCTTTTTCAATTCTGGTTTGTGATTTTGGAAGTTAAAAAATGTTTGAAGTATTTTTATAGAAACTGCTTTCTTTATTAATTAATACTGAAATTTCATTTAATTACATATTTTTGGAATATGTTTTAATTTTGACCTGAGTTTTTCCTGTTGGAAAGTTGTCCCCCTTTCATGACTTAATTATTATCTCTTAATTATAGATATACATGTATTAATTTTCTCCCCAGCCTGTCATTTCATAAAGCTTTTATTTTATTATTCATTTATATGTTGTTTCATGTCTGCTCCAATCATCCAAATTCATGCTAAGAATGAAATATTTTATTCATATGACATGCAATCTTTTCTGTAATCCATTCATGAATATTTTTATTTATTTGAAACTCAAGAGTTTTTTTCAAAAGTTATTTCTTTCTTTTAGTAGCTTAGCTTGAATGTTGTACAACTGAAAATACACAGTGAACTGCAGTTATAAGTTATCTCAGATTGGATAGATGTTCAAATCTGGCTGATGGATGGAAGGGAGATTGCTTGGAGGATTGGACAAAGGAATCTGCTGATTAGATCGATTTGTTTATGGAAGATTCCTCATTCCTGAGTCATTCAGCAAACCTAATAACCTCAAGATAACCAAACAAGTAAGCATTACATGCGTGAAAATAAGCACTAATTAAAAACAAAAGTGACATTCTCACATAAACTACACACAAGTTGCAGTTTCTAGCAAGTTCAAATAATGAGATAAAAAAAAAATTACTACAGTCAAAAGTCGTTAATTCGGACACCCATAATCCGGAATGATCTATAATCCGGACCTTAAAGCTAAAAACTTTCTGCGTATGCGCCGCGTTGGCATATGCGCACAGGCGTTTTACGCGTGTGCGTAAGACCTTGACTACTGCGCATATGCATGTGCGCAAGTGCAGAATACGTTTTCGCCTGCGCGTTTAATGTATAACGGACGGTGTAAGCTAAAATTATCTAATTATCTATTTCAGTTAATGTTCATGATTGCGATTGTTCCTTAATCTTCGATTGGATCCTGCTTATTATTTTTGCAGACGTAAGAGCAATTTATAAAAGTAAACTTGAACTTTCGATTATGTCAAATAGAATTTCCGATGCTGGAGCTTCCAAAGGATCTACAAAACGAAAGTATGTTTCGATGTCCAACAAACAAAAAGTGGAATTGCTGCAAAAAATGGATAAAGACATGAAGAATGTGATCGAGAGGTTAGTGAAACGAAAAAAATTTCGATTGACAAGTAGTCGGTATTCTCGGCACAGCAATTAACGGGACCTGAACAGCGGAACTTTGTAACTGAACAAGAAATTATGTCTGTTTATAGAATTAAAGAGAAAGTATTATCACATAAAACGAAGCAACTTAAACAACTTACATTGAAAGAAATGTTTAATAAAGTAAACAAATAAATATTAGGCTTTTTTTTTTTTTTTTTTGTAAATTTTGATACCCTTTACATCATAATTGTTCTTTATTTCATATATTACGGTTTCATATTTTTAATTTTAGAATTTCTGCATGCCATCTTACGAGATTTAAACTGATGATCTATAATCCGGAAAAATCGATAATCCGGAATCGCCGAAGTACCGACGAGTCCGGATTAACGACTTTTGACTGTATTATCAAAATTTGTGAAAAAAAATTTTAAGAAGTATATTATAGTTTCTCCTGTATTATCACACATTTAAAAAAAGTATACAATTTAAAATTTCTGATGAAAAAATGGTACACAAATACCTGTAAAATGCCAAAAGGATATTCACAATAAGCGATAATATGCCAATGCATATAGTAACAGGCATTATTTCTGATAGCAGACTCTTAAATTCTGCAGAAGAGAAGGCTACAAAGAGTAAATGAATTATTAATTAAATTTTATGCACTTATTATTATTTATATATTTATTTTCTAAAACAATAATTTTACTTCAAAATTCCAAAATAAATTTAAAAGGTTTAAGTAAAGATAAAAAACAAATAATAAACAGGCATATATAATAATAAGTAGAGTCGTTAATTATATACAATAAAGCACTATGTGTACATTATTCATTTATATGTTGTTTCATCTCAGTTCCAATTCATTTCGATGTATGTTAAGAGTGAAAAAGTTTATTTATATGACACGCAATCATTTCTGTAAATCTATTCATTAATATTTCTTTTTGAAGCCCAGAGTTTTTTCAAAAGTTATTTCTTAGCTTAGACGTTGTACAACTAAATATAACAGAGAGAAGTGCAGGTCTAAATTATCTTATATTGAACAGATGATTAAATCTAGCTGATAGATGCATTGGAGATTGCTTGCAGGCCTGAACAGATAGAGGAGTTTGCTGACTAAATAGATTTATTTAAGGAAGATTCCAAATTTCTGAGTCATTCAGCAAATATGCTTTAACTAATTAGTTGTAATTAGTTTTGTGCTTTTAATGCTTTATTAAGACTCATAGTGCAAACAACACTTAAAAAATTATTTCTCATAAAAAAATCTCTAACAACACTTCAAGGTATGTTCTTAAGGGGGGCTGCATCTATCTTAAAAGGTTCCTTGGGGGAGTGTTAATTTATTTAAGATAAGGATTAAAATACAAGTATGGTTATTAAATATTACACAGTTTGAAATCCTTTAAAAATTAAATATTAAATTTTTTATAATACAAACAGTATTTTAAGCAAACTAAAATTAAGATGATAAAATTAAATTTGTGTAATAGCAGTAGCATTAAAATTCTTCAGCTAAAAACATACTTATCACATTCTTAAGCCAAAATTTTGATTGCATATCTTTCTCATTTATTTGCCCTTTTCAAATAAATGTTTGGAGCAATGCACAAATGACGCTTTACCAAATTAAAGCTTAATTTAACATACTTTCTATGACTAAAATAACACCATGTATTTCAAGTATCTCAAATATTAATTTTTTGTATTGAAAGTTTTCAAAATGCGAATAGAGAATAAAACTCAGAATTATGCTTAGCTTATTTTTAAAAAAATCCTCAACCACATATTTACCACTATCTTATCGGAGAAAAAAATATCAGGTTACCAATTTTACTATCCAAACTCCAGTCAGGCTGCAATCTGATCGAGAAAAATTTTATAGTTCCATAAATAAGGCCTATATATGTTAAATTTTCCACAGCTAGTGTAAGAAGTTTTCTTGTCCATCTCAGGGCAGCACCATTTGATGATTTATTAACTAAAAACAAAACAAAAAACCTTAATTAACAAAGAAAGGAAAATGCAATTATAAGCATTAAACTTTATTTTCTTAAAAAATAAATAAACATTAACCAACTGGTTAATGACAAATGTTAATATACAAAATTTTCACAGAGGAAACACTTTGCTTAAAAATATTTATTTAGGTTATGAAAGGTGACTATTTTTATTAACCCGCGGGAAAGTGCATGGGGTATATCACACCCCACCTCTACATAAAAGTGGAATTTTCCTAACTTGTGAAATTGAAATTTTGTGCTGCATTCAGTAGCTAAGTTTCTAGTTGTGGTTGCCTTTCAGAACTGCTTTTTCTTTGCCTGTAAGCTTCAGAAAAATATTTATTGTTTTTTTTTTTTTTTTTTTTTTTTTTGAATTGGGGTATGACACACCCCACGCGCCTGTTCGCGTAAGTGTTTTTCTGACTGAATATTTAGTTCAGAAATTTATTTTTAGAGCATAACAGTAAATATTTCTACTCAAAAGTGATTTTACAGTATTTGACATTAAATTCTTAAAGATTTCTAACCGCATTATGGTAAAAAAATGACTCCTTATAAATTGGAGATGCAACGCCTGTAAGATTTATTAAAAATATTTGAAAGTGATGAAGATTACATTTCAGAAACTGAAGATGAAACTAGGAATACTTTCTACACTGTTTTGGTTTTCGAAAAAGAAAAAACATTAATTCCTGATGTTGTAAGGTGTTTCTTCCACTTTCCTAGCATGCCTTTGTGGTGTTTAATGAAAAAAAGTATTGAACAAAGATCAAGGATTAATACTTTACCAAGAAACTGACGTACTGCACGCAAAACAAAAAGCAGAAGTTTCGACGAATAATTCAAACGAATACATGAAATTCAAAACAACTAAGTATGAAAGATGTGATAAATTGTTTGCCCTCATGCCAAGAACAGAAGAACATGAATGGAATGTTTAAAATGTGAAAACATTCTGTGCCAAGAACACATGAATATATTTCGTTCAAAGTGTAAAAAAATAAAATAAGCATTGTGTATTAGAAATGCAATAAAATTTAGAGGCATGATGTTTATTTTTTTATTATTTTCATTTACCTTAATTTTAACTCTTAAGATTATTTTGAAAATTAATTGTTTGAAACCCAATTATTATTCACGTATTTATAATACACGAGAACAAGAAAAACAGCTTTACAATTAAATAAAACTATTTTTATCGTATTTTAAATATTGGTGTATGCGATACTCCACGCGCCCACTCCAGTAACTTTTCTTGGTGCAACTTCTGCCGGGTTAAATGCATCATACAACTTAAAAAGTTTAATCTTAAATTTAGCTGAATTTGAGACCAAAATAAATTCGAGACTACTCAGCTTAGCTTGCTAGTTACGATATCTTTTGCATACAGTCGATTCATCTAAAAAGTACATTTGATATGAGCATAAAGATAAGCAGTCTCCTTCCACAGTCTAAAAGATTTTGCATATATTCTGTGAATAATTAAGTTTAAAATGAAATATATATATATATATATATAATATATATATATATATTTCATTTTTCTTTTTATATATATATTCAGAGGCTAAAGAACCAGACAGTTATATGCAAAAAAATAATCTGACTGATTCAGTTTGTTTGGAAACCTTGCAAATTTTTTTCCTCTTTCATTTCCACAAATATAGCAACAACTAAGAATTCAAGGTAATATGCATTGCCCACTCACTTGTTAGTAAACTAGATGAACTACACTTTGCCATCAAGATTGATAACAGAAATCGGATGGCGAAAATGGTAATTACAGCAACCATGAAATTGGTTAACAATACTATCCGGAGGTATTATTTTGCAAGCTTTAGAAAAAATGGATTGAGACTAAAGATTATAAGTTTTAAAAACTATTTTTTTTTTTTTTTCACACCACGAATTATTCCACAGTTTGGAAGCAGGGGACAAAAGCACCAAAGAACTACTTTCATAGATTTTTAAATAAAAATTTAAACATAAACATACATTATGCATACAACATGAAAATGTTACCCCCCTAAAAAAAAACGAGAAGTAATATGATGACGAGAAATTTGAAATTACAAACACAAAAATCATTCTATTAGTAAAATAAAAACTCTTTTAAAATTTTTTTGATTGAAAATTCTATATACTATATCTGCCAGCGTATAAGATGCACGTTTTTCTTTGAAAATAAGTCTGAAAAACAGAGTGCATCTTAAAATGTCGATACTACGTCTTATACGTTGATACTCAGCTTTTGATTACAATCATTTCTGGAAATTTCCTGTATTCAGAGTTATGCGATTATTTTCCTTGTTTCCTCGCGGAGTGTGGAAGTATTAGTTACGTAGAGTTCAGTGAATGCGCATGTGCTGTTATCAACAATCACAGCTGGGTTCATTTAAACTTTCCAATTTTTTTGAACGACTTTTAAGTGTGAGAAATTTCTACTGTTCAATATTCTTAAATTGATTGGCAAGTTATTACTCAAAATAAACTTTGGCATTGCTAAAACATAGCATAGCATACAAGCTACGTGCGATTGCGCATGCTAAAGAACATGAAAACAGGGCTGCAAAAAGACATTTTGGGCCACCCCCAACTGAGAAAATGGTAAGAACTTTGTAAAATCAGGAAGATTTTCTAAAAAAAAGCAACTCACAGTAAACATATCCTACAAAGGGGAACTGCACAATGGCCTGAACTTGAAGCACAGCTCAATACTTGGATTTTAAAGCGAGACTTTCAGTCTCTAAAAAAATGACTATTCATCAAGCGAAAGTGATAGCGACTGAATAGAGATTGCTGATTTTACTGTATCAACATCATGGTGTTTGATTCATGAAGAGACACCAGCTATGTATGTGGGCTAAAACAAAAATATTGTATAAGATACAAGACAAATATGAATAACTTGCAGAACAGCTGGATGCACTCTTCAAATTTTGAAGTTTCACCACCACGAAGAAGGAAGAGGCCTAGCATTTCGCAAGTTTGTGAATGGGTCAAAGCTTCATGGGATGCTCTGAAAATAGAGAGAGTGGTTAAATCATTAAAAAGTGTGGCATAAGTAATGCACTGGATAGTATAGAAGACAATTTATTGTACGAGTTCTCAGATGATGATTTAGAAGAGGTTTCAAGTGACTCTTCATTTAGCTCTGGAGGTGAGTGTCTGGGTTTTGACGAAGAAGATCAAAAGATGTTCTTTCTAAGATAGATTGGGTATTTGCAGAAAGTATTACTTTGTATTACTTTACATTTAAAATACTGTAAATTCATTATAAGGATCAGTAATAAAGTTTCATCCTTCAAAAATGTGTATAAAAAAGGGGTTGCGTCTTATTGGCTGGTGCATCTTACACGCCGACAAATACGGTATTTTCAAGTAAAAGCAACTGTGGGCCTTTTTTGCAGTTTGTTGTTATTACTTTATTAAATCTAAAACTCTGCACTTTCTTTGATACTTATGGATTATCCCATTAACTGTGAAAGTGTTTTATCATTGAACCATGAAAGTCAGCAGAAATCTTTCCAAATTTGTTCCAGTCGTTCCTAAGGAATTCTGAACTGTGCTTCTATCTGCAACTCTTAAAATAAAATATTCATCAGTCTATCTGCAAAATCCACCAAATAGCCACTGCTGAAAGAGTATTGGGCCTGCTTTGCTTTTATGTTTCTTAAAAAGGCTTTCATTGATTTATATTATTTTGTTAAGCATTATGATTTTAGAAGAAGCTCTGTTTAGAATGTTAGAAGCACAAATTTCTCACAGATAACTGTTTTAAGCTACTACTATTTTGTTGGCCATATCCAGCTGTTCTTTTCCCATTCAACTGATGTCAATACTCTTGAATAGCTGTAAATCCACTGTGAACTGATTCCATTTACCGAATGAATGATTAGTGCTCTAGTGAAAATGGAACGGCATTTCTTTAACAGCTTATCAAGAGTTCTTGTTGGGAAGCGTGCCAAAAAATTTGATTTCTCTTGTAAACACTAATCCCCCCCAACCTGGCAGGGCAAAGATCTGTTTAAAGCATATAGATCATAGGAACTATTCCACGGATTTTATGCTGTTAGTGGTTCAGAGCTAGTCACAGATCTGGGTCTTTCAGAGTTGTGATTATTCAGTCTTTTCATTGCTCCTGCTCTAGCCATGGATCTGATTCCAAAGGAGTCTTAATTAATCTTTAATCACTCTTTTCACTGCTCCTGCTCTAGCTGCAAATCTGGCTCCTGCAGAGTTTTGATTATTTGCTCTTTTCGCTTCCTCGGAGCTGTTCCTTTGAGTTTCATTTCAATTCTTTGAATACTCTGTCATATATATTGCTTACATTGTGCTATGCATATTAAGTATTACTTTTTTATACAATATTGTAGTGAAAATTGCTCCTTTCACCTGAGCTCCTCATAGCTTAGCAGAGGAGACACGGGACTCAAAGCCCGATGGTCCCAGGTTAGAAATCCATCAACGGCAAGATGCCTGATACAGTACAAAGTCCGTAATCCGGACTCGTCTGAACTTTGGCAATTCCAGATTATAGATCATCAATTTAAATCTAGTAAGATGGCATGCAGAAATTATACAATTAAAAATTTTGAAATCGTAATTTATGAAATAAAGAGCAATTATGATCTAAAGGGTATCAAAATTTACCCCCCCAAAAACCTTAACATTTATTTGTTTACTTTAGTAAACGTTTCTTTCAATGTAAGTTGTTTAAGTTGCTTTGTTTTTTTGTGCTAATACTTTCTCTTTAATTCTATAAACAGCCATAATTTCTTGTTCAGTTGCAAAGTTCCACTGTTCAAGTTCTGTAATTGCTTTGTCGAGAATACCAACTAACGTGTCAATCGAAATTTTTTCGTTTTCAATAACTTTCTCTGTTACTTACTTCACTATCAGAAGCATGCATGGGTAAACGCTTTACTGGCTTTACGCTCATGCGTAGTGGATGCATGAATCAAATGCGCATGCGTAAGTTTGTGGCTTTGAGGTCCGGATTATAGATCATTCCATATAATGGATGTCCGGATTATGGACTTCGTACTGTAATTGGTTTATATGTAAATTTCCTTCTTGTTAATGTTATCTTATTTATGTAAATTTCCTTTTTATTCTTCCAGAACATTTTGAGTCTGGAATGTTTCAGCATGTTCGCCAGCTGTATATAAGTAGTTCTTCATTCAGTTCGAGTTAATTAAAAGTCCTGATTTTAGACTTGAGTACTTGCCTGTTCATTTGTACAATCCCTTCATCTATGTGACAATATTACTGTAATATTTATGTAAAATAAATTATATGTTTATTTATTTACTTATTTTACTAACATCTTGCAATCAAAAGCTTTGAATTTCTCTTTAATGTTCTTTAGTATTAGTATACTATTAGTGAGCGGTGTTAAAAACAATTGATTCATTTTGAGCTAATGGATCTGATGTGATCCCTTAGAGGAGCGGTTTTGACCATCTGTCAGATGAATTAATAGGAGTGTGTTACAAATGTGATTATATAGCCCACAAAGTTAATTCTTTTTTCAATGCAGGAAAAGAATACAGCAATAACAGTTACTATATGTGTATAAGGTGAGAATTTTCGGAACATTTTTCTAAATCTAAATTACAATGGTCAGCTTATATATAGATCTGCTAATCTCGCAAAAAACATAGATACTTTTCCATTAGCTTAATGCGAATTGCCTAATATATCACTTTTTTATTTTTTAATTTTATGAAAAAGATCAACTATAAATTAAATAAGTTTTTATGGTTTTGAAATAGTTTATATTGCTGCTTTGCTGTATCATCACCAAAATGGAAGAAAAAAAAAACCAGCACAGATACAACAGATCATATGTAAGGCAAGTGATTGAAGAAAATGTCCTAGCTTCAGGCAGGTTATCGGAGTTAAAAAGTATCTGGTATTTTACTTTACAATAAATTCAATTGAAAATATTCCATTCGTTTCACCTATTTGACAACTTTTTCACCCTCATGGTGACATGTTTAGATGTTATGAGGTTTTTTTTTTTTTTTTTTTTTTTTTTTTTTTTTTACATTTTGGCTTACATATACAGGTTTTGTTTTATGCATGGATAAGCTTGTATTTGGAAATATATGGTAATTTATATATTTATTTATAAAAACAAAAGGCAGTTTACCGAGAATCAATCAGAGTTATAGCAAACAGAAGTGCAGATGTTGTGCATTGTGACGTCATGCTTATCTATAAATGGTGATAAATCATTGTGCTTGGTATCAGTTATACGACCAAGGAGAAAATAATGTATCCTTTTTTGAGAAGGGAAGTATTTCATTTGTTAAAATTACAGTGAGCATAAATGAATGGCAAAAAAACTCTGCAATTTTTAGCAGCTTCAATCTTTGTGTAATTAAATACCAAGAGACAATAAAAATGCATTTTTCATACCAATATAATTAAAAAAAACAAGGATATCGGATTAAAAAAATCTACTTTTACATACATACTTAGAAAAATAAAAGAATTTTAAATAATTTGTCATTTATTATTTGCATTGGTAACTTAAAAAGAAATAACTGTTTAAATAAATTCATATTTTTAATTCTTTAATCAGTTCACTATTTGTCCCGAGGGAGATTCTTCATGCACAAACATTTTCAACAGTATGTAGTTTTTTATTTCTATATATTTTAAAAGCGTACTACATAAAAATTAGCTTCTTTCAAAGACATTGTCTCACCCTTAAAGTTCTTTCAATATTTCATATTCGAAATGAAATTAAGTAATTGAAAATAATAGACTAATGGAGTAGCGGATTACTTTGGCTTTGTTATGATCACATCTGTGATTTTTTTTCCTTCATTTTTATACAAAGCATTAAGTGGATTAAAATATACATAAACCTTATGCCTTTAAACAGCCATAAAAAAACTATATAAACAGTAAATATTTTATCATAAATTCTGCAAAGGGCAGAAATATTCCTGAGTTAGACTCAACAATGAAAATACTTATACTGTAGCATGCTACTTCTTTTATCAAAGAATAAATTTCACAGATTAAAGAACTAGAATTATCTATTTTTCCTTTCTCTTAATCTGAAGACATTTACCCAGAGCCGTTTTTGTTGCTACTCCTAAATTGTTCTAATTCTTATTTTATTAAGAATATTTTTATGATCCTTTTAGTAATCCTTCCACATCTTCTCTTCTAACTTCCAAATTTAGGGGTTTACCCAGAGCCACAATATCATAATATTAAAGACCTCAAAATTATCTGCCTGCAACACACAGGGTTCGCACACACTTCTTCTGTACTAACTTCAGTAAAATATCAGATAATGGAAATTTCATAATTTTAGGACCATTGATGAAAAAATTAAGGACCTATCAAGCAAATAAGAACTGAATAAACTAAAGCAATTATCTACTACTTAACTTTACTTTTCTAATTTGTAAGAATACAATAAATCTGTTATTAAGATGCATTATTAAACATAATCTAATATTTAACTTAATTATACAACAAATTCAAGAATAAAATTAACTTCATAATATTTTCAAGTAATTAGCATAGTTATAAAATTACTTGAAATATTTATATTTTACATTTATAATAGTGCGACATATTTTAAAGAAGCTTAATGGTTTATAATTTAAAATTTTACAAACATCTTTATATTGATTCTTCCTTTTGTACCTCATTTTGTCACATAGTCACTCAGCCCAGATATGTATGCAAATTTCATGTAATGTGGCAGAAATTAAATTGTGAAGTAAAATAATAATGAGCATGACTCATAACAGAAGCTTGGCTGTTACCACTGCATAGAGACAGAGATCAGTAATGCTGACTGGTATGGTTCCAAGTGTTGAAAGTCAGCTGCATTTTGTCTAACCTAGTTAGTGTTGTGTTGTAGCTTCATGTAGATTTGCTCGAGTTACAAACCGGTTAATATACAATATTTACATAAAGTTTCAATAAGTCGCCAAAGCACCAGAGATGATAGGTCCTTTCATATTATTTTATGTTTCATTAGTGTAAGGAACAATGTTTTACATTAATTTTTACATTTTTGTGTTGCATCCTGCATTTACAATAAGAATTAAGGAAAGGAGATAACATCTAAGGGTGAGCAGTTAGTTACAAATAATTAAATTATGTGGTTAGATAGCATTACTCAATAGATTTATATGGTTACAATTACATTATTTTATTTCTAAAAAAATATTCATTAAAAAGCATTAAGAACATTTTACAGCAGTCATAATTTATGAAATTGATTTTGAAGTGATATTAGTTTAACTGTATATTACAATAAACAAAACAATTAACTATGTTTTGTAATAACAACAGACAACAAAACATTTATATGTCTTCTTAATTTGAAAATTTTCTGGATACTTTAGCTAATTTACAACAGTTTCCTTCTTTTTAGCATCTTTTCTATGTTTATTTGTTTCAATAAATACATCAATGTTCCCACTAGTCTCTGCTTCATTACCCAATTTCTTAATGTTTCAACAATGTACCTTTGAAAAATAATTTTCTCTCTCTTTATAAAATAAATTTTTTTCACCAAATTTTCGCTTCATTTCAAACTTTTCAGATTTAATTAAAGATTTCTGTTATTCTAAAGAAATGCTTGCACTTAATGCACAGAAGAAATGATATAAGGTCAAGGCCAGCACCAGAACCAGTGTGGCAGAATTTCTAGAATTTAGGGCAGGCACTGAGGTACATATAGTGCACTGAGAAATATAAGATGAATCTTTTAATAAATTGTTGTTTTTCAATTTCTTTGTTTTCCTTGCTTGCTTCAGTGCTTGTGTTTAGTTGAAAGATAAGAAAATAAACATGTTAAACTTAAGCCTTCTGGGATCAAAAGGAGAAAATTCAAATAATTTTGTTTTCACCGTTTTCCCAAAAATTCTTTAAAACATGAAAAATTCATCACAAATTTCCTACAAAATATGTCCATTATGTGTTGATACCATGAAGACATTTTCATATCGTCACATTTTTCTGGAAATTGTAGATCTATAAATCTTGTCTTCTGCCTTTAGACGTTAGAGCTCTAGGATTTCACTTTATAATGATAAGATAGTAAAAACACTACTCTAAAATCAAATTAAGAATGAAGAGATAATTAAAAAATTCTTTGTTAAATTAGTCTTTGCACCGTATCAATGTAATGTAAAATTTAAAATGACAAAATAATCTGAGCAAGATGATTAAAATGTATTGTAATTGTAAATACTATTGGAAATAAAGTGGTGACATACCTGGAACCGGCCGTCCGACTAAGCTTAGTAGAAAATCATCATCTACCAAGGACAAGCACATTACAATAGTTAGCAAATTGAAGAAATTAAAGTTCCCTGTCAAAATGATCAAAATCTGGAAGAATACCTGGAAAACATTGTTGCAAATATTGGGATTTAAAAAATATAATAAATCAAGTTCGTATTTATAACCAATTACAAGATAAATTAGTTTTTAACAACTTATTCTTATCACCACTTAAAATTTATAATTATAGTGATCATACTACTTAATATGTTTTAAACAAATTAGCCCATACAACTGTTTGCCTAGAAAATTTCAGAATAATTTTCCCCTTAAGTTTTCAGTAATTCTGATAACTTCTGAAATGTTTAAGCTATTCCTGTAAAAAAAAAAAAAAAATATATACATGAGAGGAATTTATATTTAAAATAATTCAATGAGTAATTCAGTGAGTATTTGTTATTTTCAAGTGTACAATCATAAACATAAAGCACATTTTTAATTTGTTAATCTTAGTTTATACTTTAACAATTACTAAGTATAAAATATTTTTTATTAAAAAGCATTAATAAATTCAAACTAAAAAGTACCACATTCTTATTTAAAAAACTCTTTTCTAATTTTCAAAGAGCTAGCTTGTTCATCGTAGAAATGTTACATGAAAATACATTATAAAAATGGTACACAGATTTTCTCAACAGAAGTTATTACTGCTAAGTGGTATAAAAGCAAAACAACTTATAAGTTTCTTGAACAACTTTAAAATCAGACATGATGCACAAGCTTCATTTCAAAGGTACTTTTATTTTAAATTTATGTGGCATTAAATAAATTTAACCTTGCATAATAAAATTTTTAGTGTAGAGTTATCACAAATGTTAGTATTAAAATTATATGCATACCTCTATAATTTTGAATTTAATAATTCACTAATATTCTGATTTTTCCTAGTATGAACTATTCTAATAGTTACAACATTAAGGAAGAAGTATTAATAATTATAATTCTCATTCTTTTAATTTTTGAGCTTTTGTTCAGAAATGAACCTTATTTGGAAACATGTATCTACACATATTAATATAATGGAGCAATAAAATAGATATTCTTACATAACAATAATTTTAAACAACTTGTACTGATTATGTCAATAGCCTGAGCCAGCTATTTTTAAGTATACTGGGTACTCAGAAAATATATGGCAGAAACATAAAGGCAGTGAGAGAAGAATGAAATAAGCAAGCTTTATAATGGAAAGTCTGTGCCAAAATAGCATGTTGTGGTGGTACAGGGCACTGTTGAATGGAAGATAAAGGCATTAATCTGGCATAAATTGTCTTTCCCCATTAAGATTTTGAGTGGTATACACCACTACACGAACATGAAGCTTGCCAGGATGAATTTTATCTATGGGGCTGTGCTTAACTCACAGCAGCTACTAAAAACAGGAACAATGGACAATTCCTTACCTCCTTTAAGCAGCTGCTCTATTTCTATCTGATACCTTACAGATACAATACTTGCTGGTAAGCTCTGCTTTCAGATAACAATGTACACCATTGGAAATCTGCACGTGGAATAAGAATTCACACTAGCAGAATGCTTTTATCTTCTTCTCAATAATACCCAGTATTAACTTAATGTGCCATTTGAAAACACACATTCCATTACAAAATCTGTTTCAGTCTACCTGTTTTTACATTTTTCGCCAGATATTTTCTGAGCACCCTGTATATAGAATTATATATAGAATGATCATAACTAATATATTCCTGTTTATGCCCTGTGTGAGGCACAAACGCTCAAAAACTTTTAGGAGGTAGATCATATATTACATAGAAATAACATCCAAAATAATAATAAAAATAGTTTCAAACCAAAGCACCTGAAAGCTTTGTAAACATCATTTTTTCTCATGGCATTAAAACTTAAAATGATACCGCACATTTCAGTTCTCTTGTATTACTGAACTGTTCTACTGATGAAAGCAATACCATATGAAAAGAATTTCAAATATATTTTTTTCTAATGTTGATCTACATTGAAATACAAGATTTAATATTTTCCATTGCAAGAGCTTTTAAATACTGGCAGAAACAAAGAACACGAGAAAAAAAGTAGCACAATAAAAAAGTGGATATTGCACTAAAAATTGGGTAATAAACCAGAGATAGCAAAGAGTAAAAGCTCACAGCATACGAAATCAACAGAAAATTATTCTTAGGAAGAATTATATCCTGAAATGAGAAACTGATGCAATATAATAGGAAGTGCAATGGTGAATCATCATACTTTTTAAGCTAAACTATAACTAAAAATTTAATATTCACAATTAAAGAAAAATGTTAGTTGGGGAACATCCAAATGTATATGAAAATAATCATTTCAACAAACAATTCTATTAAACTGTATGGTATCCAGTAAAGGATACTGATCTTTTAAATGCAGCTAAAAAGCAAATACAATTGTTCAAAAAATGAAATTAGACATTAAAAGCTGGTATAAAAGCAACTTGCAATGATAAACTAGATCCACATATTTTTCAGAATTTTGTTTAACATAACAGGTAGGTATCATATAGAAATGAACAAATGTAGGCTATCAAAATCATTATACTTACTATTATAAAGTATTGCAAGAAAGTCTTCCATAAGCAAGAAAATGTTGAGTTTAAGCAGATTTAAACTATATTTTAGGCTAACCACTGGCAAAGACATACAAATGTAGACAGGAAATAAACAAATTAGATGATAACTGTTATATCAGGACTACAGTTCATTCACTGAACTACAGTAATTGATTCTCAAAAATTTATTACCTGCAGTGCCTGCATTTCCTGAAACAGAAATTGTAAGAATTCTTTCATATCTTTGCTGTGATTCGCAAAAAAAAGTTATAGAAATAATTCCAAAACTCTCATTTTGTTGCCAAGTTTGAAACATTTTTAAATCCAGTACCTTCCATTCTATGATAGCTTTCAGAAAGTTGCAAACAATATCATACGCACAAAATTCCACAAAACAAAACATGGTAGAAATTAATTATATAAGGAAGAGAGACTTCCATAGTAATGCAAAACTAATACAAACATTTTTAATATTTACACATATTTGTAACTCTGAAATAACTGTTATTTCATGCTAACTTACTTGAGCATAAAAACTAAATAATCTAAGAGAACGAATAGGTGAGAAGAAAAGGAATGGAATTGGAATTTCAATCACAAAAGTTCCAACAACACCCAATTTCAATAGCCATTTTGGTAAATGATGAGCATACCATGCAACTGGAGTTGGAATGCATTGGCTTTCAAAATGATAATGCAGAGCTAAAAAAAAGAGGAAGATAATTTTTAGAATATTATTATATAAATAACAAACAAAACACAATTAATATAAAAGACTGAAAAACTGACAATACCTATATAACATTTTCTGCTATTTATTTCTAGATCATATGGTAATAAACCGTGATTAGTTTTATTTTTAAACACTTTTTTATGTGGTGACTAAAATTACACAGAATTTTAGAATCCCCAAAATGACTGAAAATTTAATAGTTTATAAAGGGTTATGATTATAAAAATAATAATACATAAAAGAGAAATATATTACCAAAAATATATTATAAAAATATAACACATAATAATTATAATGAGATGTTAATGTTCTTCAAGTAAATGCGGTTTACAAACACATTGATCTTCACTTGATATACAACACTAACTATATTTTGTAAACATTAACTAGTTCCAAATACAAATAGTACTGGTACCTACTATTTTAAAATATAGATTAGAAAAGATTTTTTAAAATCTTTGGCATACAACAGCATTTCAATGTAAATAAATTTAGCCTTTTCACACATATATTTTAAAAGCTCAAAATTGTATTAAACATGAAAGAAATAATGAAAACCCCTCAAGACCTAGCCCATTATGTCATGAAGGAATTTGGTAAGAAACTTGTAATGTCAGTGACTAATTGATTAAGGGAAATTCTTCAATTAAAGATAATTTATAAATAAAGATCCCATTAAATCACTGCTTTGCACATTTGCAAGATAAGAATTTACTCACATATATTGGGTCATCCAAAAAGTTCTATGGTTTTCCAATAATAAATTGCAATGAAGCAGTACAAAAATATAAAATAATTTCCTGGAATAAGCCTTTTCTGCGACTTTTTTTCATCTCTCCAGTATGTGGAAAATTCCTTTCTTTAATAATTAGATTTATACATAAAAAAATTATCGAGATGCTGCTTGAGAGTCTCCAAAGAAGTGAACTTCAAGCCATTCAAAGAATTTTGAAGTGACCTGAAGAGGGGACTAAGTCTAGTGAATCCAAGGAGGCCAAGTCTAGTGAATATGGGAGGTGACATAAAACATCCCAGCTATATTCAATATGTCTCTGTCTGACATCCATCCAAATGTAAGATCAAACATTATCATGATGGAAGACAACATTTCAACAACTGAGCAGTTCTGGGCACTTTGCTTCAATTTCTGCTTTTAAAACAGCCATTTGAGAACAGTATTTTTCTAAGTTTATATTCTGATTTGGTGACAACAATTCATAAAATAAAACTCCTTTACAGTTTGACCATACAAAAGGCCCCTCTTGATGTTGACAGGAGGCTTTTTTGGGTTACCTACAACCTTTTCCTCGTAACATTATTGCATAGTATCCATTTCTCTTCTCCAGTGATGATTCATTTCAAAAAAGGAGCTTTACATTTCGTTTTCAGCAAATAATCATATACCAAAACTCAAGTAAGCATATTCTGCTCTTTTAAAATATAGGGTTGAAGCAGCTTACATACCAAATCTTCAAATGGTCATATACCATATTTTTTTTAAACATATAGACTGCCTGTTAGTTTCTGAACTGTATAAGGTGGATTTTCAGCTTCTTTTAATAGGTCCTTTTACATACAAAGGATAGCCATCCAGAGTGTACATCATCTTCAAAGCTTTCCATGCTTAAACTTCTCAAACCACCTTTGAACTATGTCATCAGAAAGAGCATTTGGTTCACATACAACAAAAATTTTACAAGCAGTCTGATTAGCAATTCCCCCCCCTTTTTCAAATAATACAGCATAATATGATGAAATGAATTTCTAGGTTCTCCATTCTTAGCACTCCAATAGAGGGGGGGGGAAACTATGTTACAATACATGCTAGAGTTACACAATATGAGCAGAAAAGATCCTATTTAAACATACGCTTTGATTGAGGTCACTTCTTATCAGTAGTAACAAAATAATTAGAAGAAAACATACTTCAATTTTGAAAACCCGCAAACTTTCTGAATCACCAAATACAAATACGCAATTTTCACAAAGTGACATGCCTATTATTCACACGTGTCAATGCAAAAACCTACAGAAGCATCATTCTTCTGATTTTATAGCTATTTAAGCTGAATTACAATTAACTGTGAATGGAATATTTGGACACAGATTAAATTACTGGCTAAGAATACAGATATCTTTATTGCAAGTTTTAGTCTGGATTTTGAGCTCAATTTATTTTCATTATGAGTTAGTTATAGACATCAATACTGTAACAATATTAAAAGAGTAATGTTTAATAAACCAGTACAATTGAGGACTTGACTGATAGTAAACAGCTGTTATCATTTTAAACAAAATTATTTCAGTAAAACAAGAAAGTAGCTGAAAGCGATTTCTACAACAAAACTACTAGACTGCTTTGTATTTTATACATGGTCTATTAATTTGTGAAATACTGGAACATTTATAGTTTGTCACAGGATCTTTCTTTATATTTTATGTGTTATTTTTAAAAAGACATTTCCTTCTTATTTTTTTAATGATTCCAAAAAACCTGTCATGATCTGTTAATTATAAAAGTAATCAAAACAAAATATTTTACAAAGCATTATCTTACGATTAATAAACTATCTTTTTAAAACAGAAGATTAAAAAAAAAAGCCTTCTGATTATGTTTTTAATAACATTAAGAGCAAAAAATTACCTGTTAAATCCCACCATGTAGGACACATGCTCGTTAACTTTACAACACCTGAAGCAAACATAAATCTAAATAACAACCACCGAACAAGCCACATAGAGACGTTATCATGTGCACGAGATGGTAAAGATGACATAAAACCGCTACGAACAGAACTTTGCAGAAATCCCAAGGGTGCAACAACAATAGTAATGAAACCAATTTCCAATAATAATGTATCCCTGAAAAGAACATTGTTTTAATTTAATCTTAGAAATATGATGTATTCCATACTTATAAACTATTTAGCTGTATATGAAGATAATTAAATGAAAAATAAAACAAAGTGATTTCTTAGAAAATCGTTAATGAAAAATAAAACACAGCGATTCCTTAGAAAATCATTTAATTTCACAAAACAATGTAATACACACAGTTTTTCAAAAAACATATTAATATACCTTTAAGAATAACCAATTCAATTAAATTTATTGAAATAGATGCTTTATAGCAAAGTAGTAATGCTTTGTGAAGAAACTATGCATCAATTTCTCTAAAATTCAAGAAACATTTTATAAGAATTTTGCATTTAGATTCAATTTACATATAAATTATAAAATTAGATGGATCTTTTCTTTAAATAATTACTAGATAATGTTTTGATAAGGAGACTCTTCTTATATTTTACAAATATTACTGAGCTTGGAACAAACTATAATTAACATTTATAATGAACAGTAATGTCATTTTTAATTATAACTGCAGTCAGACTTTTAAAGGTCAAAGACTTTTTGGGTTACCCAAAATGACCAATCCAATTTTTGAAAAGCAAAATTTTATACTCAATGATGTATATTTATTTAATGTACAAATTAAAAAACAAAATTCTTCAGAGCTTATAATGTTATGTATTAATAAGGCATTATCTGCATTTTTAATTGATTACAGTGAGCAGAATAGCTTGGTTTTTCCTATCTGGCTTTCTAGGTCATATTAGAGTCTCGTTCTCTTTGGAAGCAGAAACTAATGAGCTCTAAAAAGACTGTATGAGGAATTATCCTGATGTCTTACTGATAACAAGAAATCAGAAGAAGGGTGCAAAGAAGCCTTTACTCACTCAATATGATTTCACACATGGTCCCACTTGGGTTTACACAAATCAAACACTTTTGGCTTAACTTGAAACAGATAACGATGAACTTAAAACAAAATATAGCAAATCTAGTCTAATGGCTTAAAGGATAATTTATGTGCAGGAAGGCTCTAATTTGTAGAAATCGGCAAAAAACAAGCCTAATGGTTAGAAGTACTCAATATGTTCTAAAATCAACTTCAAAACCCTTCTTTAAATAGTACTTTCTTGTACCTCATTTGAACCCATGCACTCTAGCTTATTAAAATTCTGGCAAGAAAGAATGAGTGAAAATGAGGCTGAAAAGAAAGTTGTTTTAACTAAAAATTAACTGTTAGCAAAACTAAATATATCTCCACAACATCTTATTTTATTTGACTTTTCCATTTTAACAGCACATAACTATGCCACCATTTCCTACAAATATCCCAAAATGCATTATCAACACTGTGGAGATAGTAACAGAAGACATACTGAGTCAAGTGTACAAAAAATTTTATCACCTCTAAGTTTCATAGACTAGTTTTTATTACTAAAATAAGTGAAAGTCAATTTGTCAGAGATAAAACTTGATATCACTTAACATATGTTTATAAATTTAAAAAAAATTGGAATTGGGTCATTTTGGATAACCCTAAATTCACATCAAATGATGACAAATGATTCTGTAATTATATAAAATGAAAATAAATTGCATACCACTGAAACCACAAGAATGTTTGACCAACCTATTAAAAAAAGTATAAAATTAGGTAAAGGTAAAATAACAGTAAAAGGAAATTACGAAGCAAAAAGTAAATTCGGTGTTTTCTGGTAAAGGATAACATTGTCTTAAAGTTTTTTCCAAATATAATAAATGTATCTCTTAAAGTAGAAATTTCAATGAATGAAGAACCATAAAACAGAATGACATATATTAAAAACTTTTGTGATCCACTGCTTTTAGTCAGTTATTTTTTTAGATGATCGTACTAAAATAGGTTGTCATATTAACCATTTCTTCTTTTTGCCATTTTACAGCAAATATGAGATTATAAATAGCATTTTAGTAGTATCCTCTACGAAATAAACAACTAACTAAAAGTGATAATTGCACACTACATAATTACCAAACATTTAAATTAAAAGACTGTCTAAGATCTATTCACATGAGGTCCCCCCCCCTTTTGAGTACACATGTGTGTGTCTTTATTTTAATGTTCCAGATAAATTCACATAAATAAGAATTTACTGTAGAACCAGTACCTCAATGCACATATCCTTTCCTAAAAAACTGTTGAACGCATATTGTCTTATACTGGGCATTTTTACAAAATTTCAATCCAAACATATGCCTTATTATATTTAATAATTTCATCATATTTTATTAAAAGAGACTAATTTATCATACTACCAGTAACATTGAAAAATATTCTTTCTCATTTCCTCCAATATTATATTACAATACCTTGTCATCTGGTAATGCAAAGGAATATAACATCACTCCTCAAAAATACAGTCATTGCCATAAAAATATGTGCTCCATTTGAAGGAAATGTCAAAATCAAATGAAACTTTACATATATATGTGCATCCTTGACTAAAGTAAGTGATTACAAAATCATCATCACTTATTACAGAAAAAAACTAAAAATGAATGAAGTGTTTAGTACTCATCTGGGCCACTTCTAGACTGAATAAACAATGCAAGAGGGCAGGCACTGAGGTATGTAAATCCCACGCCATCTCATTCTACAGTTGCTGTAAATGCACTTCTAGCTCAATGAAACTACTAAGCTGTCCAATTTATCATCCCAAGTGATCACAAGCATTCACGATGTTAAGTAGGATAGGGAAGGTCGTTAATGTAAAGAAGGTACTTCTGTGACACACTTGCTGTATGTAACTGAGCACTATTCTGTTGAAAAATGACTGTTGTTAACCCTGCCACGAGTGGCAACACATGTTACTGAAGGAGATCATGAATTACTGCTGGGCTTTTAAGATGCCATAATTTAATATTAGAGATAACCCCACACCACCACACAAGCTTGCAGGAGAGGTAGATTTCACTACTGGGCTCGCACATACATACACAGTTGTTCTCATTACCTAGATTGAATCTCTAATTGTCACTGAAGACTACCTAGTTTCAGATGGTTGCTGTCCAATGCCATCGAGTGCAACACCATTCCGGAGGTCCACACGGGTGTCAATGCCAGGACAAATAATGGCACCTTAATACCAAATTTCCTTCAGGCAGGCAACTCATGATAGTGCGAACAGATACAGAGGTCTGTATGAAAACAGCTGCCAGTATGTAGATGGAGGACAATGAGGGAGTTGTTAAGTATGCATATTGGTTAACATAAGTCTTCTTGTCTAATGATGTGCCGATGGTGTCCTTACCTGGCTGCTGTGTACACAACCTCTCTCTAAAATCCACTGGTTCCAACACCTGCACATAGTAAAGCCACAATGGCATAAGTAGTGGCTTACTCACATAGCACACCACCTGGCTTCTAACATCACAATGATTTTTCTCTCAAACTCCAATAGCTGATTATACTATCTTCAATGGCCATGTAACAGCTTCCTTTCAAAAATGTTACCTTCTACAATAAATAAGGTTCAAGCAAAACACCTTTTTGGATTTTTTTAATGCATACCTTTTTTTTATTTGTCAATTAAAACGAAGTTCCAATGCAAAATGATGTTTATATATCTAATCACTTGCAAATCTATCTAATCTTCATGGCAAATTTCATTATGATTCAGCAATTATTATTAATGCAAAAATTTTCATGGCAATGGGTGTATAAGATTTAAAATTTTCTATACAATAAAAAGAACAGCATTTATTTATATCTAAAGGCACAAGTATGTGTCACTTTCTATGCATAAACTGTTATTACTTTTTTGAAAAATTTATTAGTAAATATTTTCAATTCACAAATTCTAGAACATTTTTTACTTATTTCATAACTTAAATTCACTGAAACTGTATCTGCATGATATCTGATCTAAAAATGCCAAAAATTTACCAATGAAGTCATAGTATTTTAAATGATATATTTGATAGATAATTCCATGCATCATGATATTTTACACCCAATAATTTTTTTTTAATATATATAAACTGCAAATCTTCCTATAGGCCAATCTGGAATAAAACATTAAATTGAGTCATAATCCAAACACATTATCTTTAATATCTACAAAGGTCAAATTCTTATGTAAATTTTCAAGATGGATAACAAACATTACATCAAAAATTATAACAGAATCTTCAAATATAGGATTTTATGAAACCAGATCTATGCACACGTCAGTTACTTTATATTCCCATTTAATGCTTTAAAAATTTCAAGCTTAAATTATTATTTTTTAAAGAAATCTCTAACATGTTTAATTTTAAAGTTTATTGCAGAGCTTAATTTTTCAATGAAAAGGTTGAAAATATTTCTATTTGGACACAATTTTTCAACTTATTTTTTTAAAATTAAGCATAAAACAAAACATTGAAAAACAAAAATTCCATCAATTTAATATATACAAGTATCCTTATCTAATGAAATTGCTCTTATGAAAGATCTAAATTAGTACCTTTTTAGGTTTGGGGAAGAAATCCAAATACAATTTTTCCTTTTAGGGGGAAAAAACATTACTGGGATTAATTATGATTAGAAAAATCTATAAATAATTACAAAATAGCAAATGGGCTTAAAGTATCCCCCCCCCCCCCACACTTCCCTGTTCGCAGTAAAGGCAGTTTTGGAATCGCGAAAAATTTTGGGTATCGCATTTCAATGAAAATATCCGATTTGACCAATCTTGAATCCATTTGAACAATGTTTTTGTATGACATGTGTACGTATGGACAGAATAAAAGACTTTTTTTTTTAATCCAAAACAGATTATAAAATGGATTCAGGAAAGATATTTTTTCATAACTTCTGTAGGTATGTACACATGCACCTACATATGTGCATCACAACTTAAAAACGAGTAGAATGCTAGTAGAATGCTGAAATTTTGTATATGGGATTGCTATAACATGTAATTAGTTATGCACCACCCACTTTTATTGCAATCGGCTGCCCCAAGCCTTATGTTAATATATATATATTTAAACAAATTTAAATTCTTACATATTTAATTAAATATGTATTTAAATTTAATTTTTTAAATTAAATTCAATTTATTCTTATGAAACAATATCTATATATATATACTACCCGACATTAACAATGCAACACCAAGAAGGAGTGGCCAAAAAACTTGGCAAACAATAATAAACATAATTTTTACAATCTTAAATGAGAGATAAAATGAACAAATAAATAAATACATTGTAAACAAAATCCCCAGCTGTACGGCTTTCCCAAGACTGAATTCTTATGCTAATTCGGTACAACTCTGATATATGCCCTAATTTCACCAAATGTGGCGATATGTGTTCTGTGCTGGTTTTTGGCGCAATTGTGTATTGTATGGCAACCCTGTTGACACTGAAAAATCTTTGGCTGGAGCTCGTTGGTTCGCGTCTGTGTCTGAGAAGATAGGGGGAAAGATAAAATGCTCGAAGTTGTTGAATTGAAGTTCGGCAAAAGGAAATATCAATGTGGCCATCCTCTTGAGGAGCAGTGGGTGTTTGGAGGAGTGCAAAGAAGGTCTGGGAGATTATTTTTAGTGGCTGTGCATGATAGATGTAAGGATTTGTGATTATTTGTGATTTTATTTATTTGTGAACCATAGTATGAATTTTCTGGATAGTGTCTCTGGCTGTCATATAAATACGATAGTGATTACGTGGCAGCATGTTAAAGGCGGTATTAAATTGGTATTTCTGCTGTTCGAAAAAGCCTTAATTCATGCTAAGTGCATTTTATTTTATTCTTGTTCTTACTTTGTAGAATGTTATGCTCATTGTTTTTAGTATGAATTTATGTTGTTATTGTTGTTTTTTTGAATTGTTTGAAATTTATTTTAGTTATTTTAGTTTATTTTGTTGATTAGTGTGTAGTGTCTAGATTGGGCAATTCGTAGATGTTTTTTAAAGTTGAAACAGAACGCTGTGTACATGGTATTCCTTGAAATTTATTGTTGTTATGTTAATTTATTAAAGCGAGGTGTGAATAGTTCGTAGATTCGTTCGTTGCCTAAATTGTGGAATTCGTAGATTTTTTTAAAAGTTTAAACAGGATGCTGTGTACATGGTATTCTTTGAAATTTATTTTTGTTATGTTAATTTATTAAAGCGAGGTGTGCGTAGTTCATAGATTCCTTCGCTGCCTATATTTTGAAATTCACAGATTTTTTTAAAAACATATCTCTGTGTTAAAATTTAATTAAAGTTAAAACATATCTCTGTGGACATGGATTCTTGTCAAATATTTTTTGTTAAAAACTTTACGTTTTTGCTATCTAAATTTTTTGTTTTGGATTTTTAGCTTAAATTGTGCGTTCAAAACGTGGTTTTTGCATGTGCGAAAACCGTGTTTTTGGAGACATTTTAGGCTGAAAGTTTGAAATGTAGACAAAAAATTTAGATAGTAATACGGCAGCATGGAGTTTCTCGCCAAAAGTGTTTGGCGACTTGAGCGTGCATATCAGAGTAGTTTCGCTAATTCTACCACAATGTTCTGCGTATGTTCAACTGGATTAATTTTATTTATAGCTTACAGAGGAATTTAAATCAGGACTCTGAAATCAATAAAAGAAAATTTTGTTATTCTTTAGTAACTTATTATTTTATTTTCTATTTTTAATGGGGGGATTAAAAAAATTTTAAATAAATAATAAAAAAAAATATTTTTAAGAATCTATCCCTGCCAATGTATGGTTGTACTGCAAGTTGTCTGCCAAAAATATTCTTAATAAAGTTAGGGAAAAAAAAAAAAAAACATTAAAGCAGTACCTTTAGTGTGGGTAGTAATCACCACCCAAATCTATGATATTTAGACAAAGTTTTGGGAGCTTTTGAAAGCTTTCAGCCCAGAAACTTGGAGGCTGTGATTCCTTCAGACATCCTCGCAAAATGGAGGATAACACCATCAATAAGTAGCTGCAGGTGTGAAAAAAGGTAGAAGTCCGAAGGAGCGATCTCGGGGCTATATGATGGATGTGGCAGAAGATCCCATTTGAGTGTGTACAGAGTCTAGCCGGCGAATGCTGACACAAGTGGTCTTGTATTATCTTGATGGAATATTACGTTTTTTGTGCCAGAAATCAGTTCAATGCTTTTCCTTAATAGCAGCATCAACACAGACTAGCAATTCATGTACACCTTACTGTCAAGAGTTTTACCTTTTTCCAGATATTCCTTGTCGATAATACCATGGCAATCCCACCAGATACAAAGCATGATATTTTTATTAGCCAAATTGTGTTTGTAACATTACCTACGGGCTCAATGAATGCAGACCAACCCCCTATTCAGCCTATGTTGTTGAAGTAAATCCACTTTTCATCACAAGTGACAATCCGGTCCAGAATTTCACATGTTCACATGTTGACATTTTAGCAGATCAGTGCAGGCCTCAACACGTCTATCATTCTCTGCCTGAATCAGCTCATGTGGCACCCAGTGACTGAACTTGTACGTCAAATTCATGCGATGCATAGTGCAACTAATGAGCATGGCAGTCTAACATTTTAGTAAGCTCTGGAGTGGTTGCATACTGATCTTATTCCACAAGTCCTCACAGGCAGGCTTCATCAACATCAGTAGGCCGGCGAGAGAGCGCTCTGCTTCTTGAATGTCATAAGTCCTTGTTTTTTAACTTTCAGTACCAAACATTCAAAGTGTCATATGACATAAAATTAGTACCTAAAGTACACACACATGATTTGGTGACATTCTATAGCTGACTTTTTGCAACAGAAATGGAAAAAAAATGATGGTTCTAATCTAGTAGCTTGACAGTTCCATTTCAGATCCCTTGTATTTAACGTTAACAATAATTTCTTACAAATTTTACAACACAGTGTTCTAAAGCACGTTTCTTCTTTCAAGAGTCAAAAATAGCTTGACAAAATATTATTAAGCACGTCAACACAAACTGTTTGTGCAGCATCCTCATTTATAATAAAAAGAGAGGTGCACATAGAAAGTGCTGAATAACTTCAATAATAAAATTAATTTGCTTCTTCAATTAAAATACATTTTTTTAAAAAAAAGTTTGCGCATTTGTATAAGAACAAATGATATTTCTGATTATCTGCACCTCCAACAAAACGCCACAAGAAAGTATTAATGAAGCAAAGCAATAACATTGCAAAAATAGTTATGTAGTAACCCATAATACCACAAAAAAATTTTATTGCAAAAATGTAGATATGCTTGTAGTACATGTCTGTTTTGGCCACTGTGCAATGCTGAAGTTGTACGGATGATAAGTTTTTGCAGTTCTCTGATGTTTTTTTAAATGAAAACAGAATGCTGTATACACAGGAGGGAAAGTGGCAGGGGGGATTTTTGTACATTAGCTTCATGAAAAATTAGTCAGCAATGAGTTCACAACTGCTGCACAAAGTCACCCTGTGAGTTTGCTATTTTAAAGTGGAGATGTGAATAATTACAAAGAAAAGAAGGGGGAAAAAGTGCCGCTATTTTCCACAAATTAAATTTTTGTTTGTACATATGTAAAAATGACATAAATTACAGGCATTGCAGATTAAAACATTCTGGATTATCAGACCTTTTACTGTATTATCTGCATATTTATCAGTCATTATGTTTTGTTAAATATGACAAAGCAACTCTGGGGTACCTATGATGGAGAGATTTCTAAAGCAAACTAATTCATATTTATGTTACATATGGAAAAAACACAAACGCACTAATGCAGTTAGTTCATCACCGGGATTCCAACATCAATTTAATTTCCAATATTTAGCACTTTTACACACTTGGCCACTGGAGGGCAAATACTTATCAAAGCATTATTTTATGATTTAAAAAATATTTGTTTTGATATGAGAAATTTTTCTGAAGACATGCAAATGCTAATATGTTCTCCAAAATAAATTCACAGTAATTGCTTTTTGTTTTACACCATTTTACTTCATAAAAAGTGGATCTTTTTCATTATAGAATAACATGCAGCAAATAATTTTCTCTACAAAGACATATGTGTCAACTTGATACTTTAAATGAGAAAACATATTTTGTTGTCAATTAATTTCAACTATGGTAATTTTTTTTCTGTACATATATGAAATATCTATCTATCTAACTTTTAGGCTCATTTAAAGCTTTGCTTATTTCAATAAATAAAGAATAAAGCAGAATAGTACATTAAAAAAAAAACCTTGAACAGTTATAGATACACGCACAACCTCCTGAAATATTTGAGTTTACAACAAATGCATAATAAACATTATAAAATATAATTTAAACTAATTACTGAAAGGCGCATATAATTTTACGATCTTTAAAAATAAATTCATTCTGCATAAAGTTTTATAATTAGTTGCTTAAAATACATATGTTATATTAATTTAAACAAATAATTACTTGAAACAAAGAAAAATATAACATCCATAACAAAGTAAAATTTGTCATATCTCTCATTCGACCCCACACCATGCAGCCAAAGGAGACAACAATTCCTAACAATGCAATGAGATCCATCATGAAAGGAACATCAATGCCAAGGGCTGGGGCAAGCCATAGCAGAGTTGGAATTTCTTTTGCTTTTTGATGGACAACATCAGCTCCAGCTTCTGTTGAAAAATGTAATGAAATTAGAACATATTTGGTTAAAACAAAGTATAATCAACTTAAAAGAAAAAGTACATAACAAAGCAATATCACTATACACATATAAGTAATAGCATTATGACTTTAAACTCATCAACACTACACTTTAAACAGACCTAAAACTTCACATATTTAAAAGTAAGAGGTTAGACTCAAAAATGTGTGCATGCATTATATATACACTTAACACATATATGTATGTATATGTGTGTGCAGTATATCCATCTAAACATACAATATGAAAGATATGTTAGATAAAATAATTCTAATTTTTTAATAGCCTCATAATCTCCTTATTAATTTGGTTACTTCTTTCTTCATTCTAAATATAGTAATGTACTTATACTAAAGTTCTTTCACCACTTCGTTTTAAAATTAATTCCTGTCATATGATTCTAATATCATGCTCATTACACATGTATACTCGAATCTTTTCGATAAAATTTATGCTGAATTTGCAATTCAAAATCTTAAATCAACTACCAGAAATAAAATAGAACCATAATTTCAGTCATTTAATCTAACATCCTTATCGTAATTTTTGCATTTCTCTACTGCTTCCCTTCTTTATCACCAATTACAGTGCCCTCTTGATTATGCAGGCTAACGCTGAAGAAACAGGATTGCAGATAAATAAAAAAACATAGATAATTCACACTATCAATTTTCATGCATAATATATATGTTTATTTTTTTTAAATCAATACTTTTATTTTATTTTGAAGAACATTTAAATATTTGTTGAATTCCACTACTTGTTTTTCAAAGTGCCAGTTTATTACTGCATTCGAATCTCCTTTGATTGAAGAAGTCTGTTTCAACAAAAGTCATTGCTATCTCGAGATTAATGTAACAGTCAATATCTTTTCCCCTTAGTAATCAAGGTAATTAATGAAACTAAACCTATAGATACAATTCAGCAAATTTTAAAGCATGCTCAGAATCTTACGTATTTGTTTTTCAAACACTCTCATGCACAGCACTGAATGTGCATGTGTGAAGGTGGCCAAGCTCAGATAATTGAGAGTATCATATGTGTGTCTGCGCTTGTTTTTTTCGTTGTGTTTCATTCAACAAAATATACTTTGATCAAAAAGACTTGAATTTAGTTCTGCAGCATCTTTTATATCCAATCCAAAGTATTTCATTACATGCATATACATAAAAAAGTGTTTAATGGGTTTGTACATATAAATACTCCCACATACTTAATTTGGGACTTTGATTTATGTGTAGAGAATGTGCCTATAACTAAATGTAACTGGTGGCAAATCCTCAGACAGACATATAAGCAGCTTATCAATATGTCTAAGATCAAATGGAACTTAAGAAGGGTGTATGTACCCTTTTATTTAAAACTGAGTAAGTTGAACAGAAGGCATAACTGGTGCTTATAAATCAGACAGCATTTATGCTGTGCACTAGAAAGCAGAATTTCAAATTCAAAACTAAATATTTATTAGACAAAAGCTACACAGAGAAATTTAAATGCAAAACTTGGTTCAAAGCCTATACCAGTGTGACAGCAATATCGGCAAAGCAATGCCACAGACAGGATCACTTAGCTTAAATTACACTAGTAACATGGGATTCAGCAGGCAGAACACATTTTGACTAAAACAATCTCAACCCTCACTTAAATACACACAAGCTAATTTGCATTCTAGCAGGAAAATAAAAGAGAAAAATAACAGTAAAAATTCAGAACATAAAATAATTGGTTAATTAACATATATAAACCTTACAAATGAAAATGTCCTGCATCCAGAAGTTAATGACTGTAGCTTAGTTTCAATATCTTCAATCCGTTTTGGGCTTAAAAACATATTTATTATTAAAATAAAAGACATACAATTCACCAACACGCAAAATCCCTGCAGCTTTTAGATATAAAAAGCAGAAGACAATACTGTCCATTAAATGATAAATATGGATGAATTTAAAGATTGCTGTCAAAAGATTACAATTAAAAATCACTGAATCATTAATAGTATTAAAATTCATTACATGAATATTCTGGTTATGTTGATGTAAAGATAATACTTACACATTATCCTGCTGACTGAAATTGTCCCCAAGTTGGATGATTACCCACAGAGCAGCGTGAAATTGATAAATAGATTTCGGAGTGGTTAGAGAAACAAATCATTAAGCCAAGCTGTTCTGATTACGCAAGTAATATCGTGGTAAGTAGAAAAAAAAAATGCGTTCATTTAGACTATGTCTGGACTTAAATGACACTTAAAAACCTAGTGACTCCCTTTATGAATATTTAATTGCTATGCGTAAAATAGCCAGTCGTGGTTCTGTTGATGATTCATCAATTCTTGATTATGTAATCAAAGGGATACCGGATCAGAGTAGTAACAAAATTATTTTGTATGGCTGTAAAACTATTTCTGAGTTCAAAGAGAAATTAAAAATTTATGAGAAAATCCGCGTTCCAGATACAAAGAATAAGGGTTATTCAAGTACTAACACACAAAATAAAGCATGCGCTATATCTAATAAGAGTACAGAACCAAGGTGTTATGACTGTAGAAGTATAGGGTGCGTGCATTCTGATGCTAAAGCAAAGTTTAAAGTTTATAAATTAAACATTTAGCAGTAGTAGCAATAAAAGCTCCCTGAGATAGTATGTTATGCAGACATTGAAGATAATAAAGAAGTTTCAAACTTAACCAATTTATTAACAATATAAAAAGGGATAAAAACACAAAAAATAAATTTAAACAATATCAGAGTCTTAGAAAAAATATAATATAACCATCATTCATCAAATAATATTTTTACCTGGGCTCCAAAAATACTGGCATTCAATACAAACAAAATGTTCTAAACAGTAATTATGCGGTCTCAAATGAAATTGGCTACACATTCAATAAATCCATGATCAATGGTCAAGAAAGCAATTGAAATTTAAGTAAAGTTCTTGAAAGCACTTAAATCCGGCCTAACTCCGCTTACATTAGTTGAACACAAGGAATCGCCGCTCACTTATTTTAAATGCCACCTTCATGAAGAACATGGATGCCGCCCACGGCAGTCACTCACATTGTAGCCTCTGGAACCAAGGAACTTATTCTGGAAAGGTCATCTCATATACAGGAACCAAGGAACTTATTCAGGAACAGTCATCTTGTGGACAGGAACCAAGGAACTTATTCAGGAACAGTTATCTTGTGGACAGGAACCAAGGAACTTATTCAGGAAGAGTTATCTTATGGACAGGAACCAAGGAACTTATTCAGGAACAGTTATCTTGTGGACAGGAACCAAGGAACTTATTCACCAGACTGCACGCATCCTTCAAAAGGGGCTGGAAACCGCACATCCAAGTGCCAGGAAAGCAGGAACTAGAAAGGGTGAGCCAGAGCGATGCGAGATACTTATACCAGAAGTAGGCATGACGTCATCTCACGGCAACCAATCAGCTATCGGCACGAATCGGCTTTCCAGATGACGTAACATCACGTTTCGTTTTTGCACCTTTATTAGGTTGAAACAGTCCATTCTCAACGCAAACAGTGGCAGTAAGAAAAAGAAGTAGAAGTAACTACTATATTACATTAAAATAAGAACTAAACCTAATAAACATTTCAAGGAGGAGAGATGTTGCAATAAAAGGTTTACAATTAATCATATTTTCCAATTTTTTACAATAAACGGTTTACGCGCATGCGTAAAGCATACAAAAACAAAAAAAAAAAAAAAAAAGGTTGCGGCTTTGAGGTCCGGATTATAGATCATTCCGGATAATGGATGTCCGGATTACGGACTTTGTACCGTATTTTAAAATACGGAGCCCCAGTAAAAGTAATATTGGACAACGGCAGACAGTTTGTGAGTACTTTATTTTAAAATCTTTGCACAGGACTCGGTATACACCATCTAAAAATGGTACCATACAGACTGCAATTGAATATTGTGGAACGTGTAAATAAGAATATTGTAAAAATTATTCAGGGATACGTTAAGAATTACCATGACCACTGGGACAATGAGTTAGGTTTTGCCTCGAGAACAGCAGCGCATGATACTACACAAAAAACCCCAGCAGAACTGTTTTTAGGGAGAAAGATTTTTAACACCTATGGACAAGCTTTTCTTGTGCAGCAAAGGCAAGAAGAATTTAAATTGAAAGATATCCAGGCAATCATAAATGAGGCCATTAAAAATTTTGATGCAGCAAGGCAGAAACAGAAAGTTTACTATGATAGAAATAGACAGGATGTAGAATATACTGTCGGTAAAAAAATACTGAAATTGAAACATTTGTTATCATCTGCACCCGAAAACAGAGTGGCCAAGTTTGAACCCAGGTTTGAAGGGACCTTCATCATTGAAAGAATTAAACAATCAATTTTTTATTTAAAGGCTGCAAACGGCTAGCAAGTAACTGCTAATATTGATCAGTTAAAATCATATTATAGTTGTACTGACAAGTTTTACAAGATTTATTGCTGGATCCTGGAAGCGAGCCAAGAATTTTACCAAAGCAGACCCTGAGCTCGAATCCCCCAACAGCAAAAAGGAAGCAGGCCGAAAGGGAAGAAACACTGGTTAAACATATCCAACCAGCACAAGGTCCAGAGTCAGCAAAAAAGAGGAAAAGTAATACCTACGAAAGAACCTGCCAGGAAAATGGATCCACAACCAAAGCCAGTACGAACGATGAAAAGGAAAAGAACAGTGGATACTATTCCAGTAAAATGAGTACGACAACGACGAATTCCAGATTCAAGGAAAGAGGCTTTGCCAGAAAGTCTGCATTCCCTAGCGGCAACCACCACAAGGAAGGTCAAAGGAGCTTCATGCTGAAGGATTGTGGAAAAAGAACAGCCGATGAAGGAGCCATGCCATTTCAACATACCAGAAAAGTTAAGCACAGGTTTAAAGATCCTGAACAAAGAAGTGGCCTTCCAAGAGGTAAGGAGGAAACTCCAATTTCAAACCCCCACAACCAGTGCGAAAGGCCACCAGGTTCATCAACAAGGGGGAAAACGCAAGAGAGTTCTGACGAAGAAAACAAGCCAGCTAAGCCAAAGGAGGAAACTGCAAGTGTTGAAGTAACCAACCTTTGAGCAGTTCTGCTTGATTAGGATGGAGGAGTTTAGAAGAAAAAAAGATAAGTGATTTTTTTTTTTTTTTTTTTTTTTTTTTTTTTTTTTTTTTTTTTTTGTGTGTGTGTGTGTGTGTGTGTGTGTTTTCCTATTTTACATTGAAAGTTCAGGTTATGTCATGTTGTTTAAAGTTGCTAAATGCTGTTTAAAGAAAAAATTTGAATTCACAAGTTTGCGAGAATTTAGTTGTAATTATCTTTTAAACAGAAAGACTTTTTGTATTCGCATGTTGGTGAGAATTTAGTTTGTAAATATCTCTTTTTAAGAATTCGCAAGTTTCTGAGAATTTAGTGGTGAATATCTTTTAGTCGAAAAGACTTCAGTTAAGAGTAAAAACAGTTAACTTAAAGTTAAGATTTTAGGAAAAGACTGAAAATTGTATATAGCAACTATAACGAAACTGTTTAATGCACAGTGTTAGGAAGTTTTTGACTTTCAACTTTAAGAAATTTTTGAGAATTTAAACTCTTGAACAAGGTCGTTTTGAGACCTTATTCTTCGAGTATTAAAATAAAAGATGTACGGTTTATCCAAAGTTTTTAACAGTTACCTTTAGCTACTTTCTGTCTCTCTTAATTTCAGCTTACAATTTTCTGCCAGAGTGTGTTTTTAGAATCGTGGTTAATGCAAATGAGGAAGAGCGGTATTTAAGTCTTCCACTGACTTTGTTAGAGAGCCAGAGATGCTGACTAGCGTGTGTTTGCCATTTGGCTACACTCTCTCTAAGCTATTACTAAGCCCGGCCATATTTCAGGCCCTTGATAGCTTTGCCAGTTAGTTAACATTTAAGGGCCAACTCCTTAGAATTTTGATAGCTTCAGCTATATCTTTTTAGTTAAGCATTAGTTAAGTTTGATTTCTTAGTACTCTTGAATTCAAGCCAAAATGGAGACTTTTCTGTATGCTCTACAGTAGGAGCGGACTGCAAATTCTTAATTTCAGAAATAAAGGGTAATTAACCCTGCTTGAGTTTACGCTTCTGTTTCCTGAACTAAAGCAATTATTCACTTACCAGTTCTCGAGGTTCCACACACTTAGCTATAAGAGAAAAGGTTGGAACCCCATAACAGAAAGCAATGAATGGAGTATGACGAAAGCAAATGCAGTGTGATCAGTCAAGGAAAATAATTAATGGAAGATGAAACAGCTCAGATATTATAATTTTGCCTTAAAAAGTTTATGTCATTAACTAATGAAGACATATTTTTGTTAATGTGTAAGGGTTCAAAGAAATCCAATTTACTAGCTTAAGAATCTTTATGCATAATTTGATACTGTTCTGTCATCAGGACGGGATTCAGACATGTATGTATACATGTAAGCAAGAATGTATGTGTATACATATACACATATATGCACATATGTACATACACATGCGCATACATTCATTACATTTCTGAATCCGATCCTGATAACAGAACAGCACCCACAATTTTTGAAAACAAAATTCTAATTAGATGTCCAACTGTACAGCTAAAAAGTTGCTTATTAAGTACTAGTATGCAATCTACTATTTTTTTTTTTTTTTTTTTGGTAATTTGTGTCACATTTTTTAATAGAAATTTTTATTAGAACAACTTTTACAAAATGTAACTTTTCTTACTGTATGCTAAAGATTCATAAATATATCTGCATGTTAAAAATAAAAATAAACAATATTTATCAAATTTGAGCCTTACATATGCTTAATTTTTTTAAATCAAGTTGATTTTAAAAGAAATACTTTAATCATGTTTGATAAATTAATAATGGTTAAAACAAAATAAAAATATTAAATTTATACAACCTGTACATTTTACAATTAATATATTTTCAGTTCTTTAGAAGGCTTGGTAACTACAATATAGAGCTATTTATTTTTTAAAAAACAATTGCAGTGTTGTAACTGCAAAATTTAAAGGATATACTGGACATTCTGAATATAAGATGATCCACCTATAAACTGAGATAGTTTTTCTTTCTTCAAATATTTACTCCAAATTCAAAACCTATATATAACCAAAATGCAAAAATAATAATTTAAAAAAAAAAAAAAAAAAAAAAAAAAAAAAAATGTCGCCACGATGCTAAAAATGTTGCCAAAAAGATAAAATGGGTGAAATATTTTTAAGTGGTTTCTCTGTAAACTATATAAGCCAGCAATGATGGTCTTAGATCTAGTAAAAATGGCTGAAGGAATAACATTTTCCCCATTTATTTGTTGTCTTGTATATTATCTGTGCTAATCTCATTTTCATTTTAGCGACCACGTAACAAACCAGCAATATAAACAAATTTGAAAATAAAACAACTCATTTTCATAGAACGAATAATTCATTTCATTTAAAATTAATTTTTTTCATAAACTTAAGGGATAAAAGAAGTGGTATAGTTACCGGTTTATCATTTGTATCTGGTTAACAGAAAAGTACCTATGCTTTTTGTGAAATTAGTGATCAATATGTAAACCGAATCCCATCATTCAACAATCATTTCGAAAAAGTTCCAACAATTCTTGTTTTATACACGGAAATATACGGTAGGAGCAGAGTAAAAGGAAAATACCTTTTCTGTAAAATACGCATTAATATAATTTATATTCTTTAGCGCTAAGCATTCTACTTTATCGTATTTCCTATATAATTTTTTGTAATAGCATATGTCTCCTATTTCATTGAATTCATGACTGGTAGCAGTGGCCTCATATTTCATTGAAAATTTTTATAACTTAGAAACCTATTTACACCACATCACAAGAGCATTGCATTTTATTAGCTTATAGGTATGCTTTGAATCTCACAAACATGATTACCATTTACTAGACATAGTTCATTTTCTGGCACAGAAAATTGCCAATTTTATTTCTAATTTTTTATACACTGATCATAATTTCTGGTTTAGAACAGTTTATTGTAAATATTTTTGTGTTTGTTTATCTCTCCATGCATTGCTTCAGTTTCCATTGAGAGAGAATTTTCTGCCATGGACAGAGATGAAACCTTTAAAAAATATTCCTCCTCATCATAAAAGACTTTCCCCCATTAAAATTTATCCTAACAGTCTTTCACCATAACATTTGATCTCTCTATCAGTTACAAAATTACTCGGACTCTCAAGTTAAATTTTTAGGTCATTTTTGGAACCATTGGCGAAATACATTCGTCAAATCTCAAAAATCCCATCTCTGATTTAATTTCTTTTAAAATTTGTATCACATCTTGTCAGTGTGGTCTGATATTTATCATTGAAATTTAAAATGCATGAACATTTTTGTATAAAAACACTAATACTTGAATCGGAAAGGAGAAATACAGAAACTTACGATAGCTAATTACAGTTGGACAATCATAATTTGAACTCTATTTCTGCAAAACATATTCAGACAGCTTCTTCAGTTTATGAATAAAATTTCCTAAAACCCTTTCATATTTATAAATTTTTCTCTTCTTCAGTTAATGACAATTTCAATCCAGTTCTGACCATAAATATTGTATTCGTTTTTATTAACTTGCACATATATTTATGAATCATTAGCATATAATAAGTAAAGTCACATTATGTAAAACATTTTTTAATAAATATTTAAATTTAAAATGCATCATAAATTACAAAAAAGAAAAAAAAAGTGCATAACACTCTTACATAAAGAATTAAGAAATACCTCTTGTCATCATAAAAAAACACTATACAATTAGAAATAATCATAACAGAAATAATCCTATTTAATCTTTCTAACAATTATACAGTCATTCAGATTCTCCATAAATTCAACTTTGGAGTTATTTTCTCACTTGTTAGTAAAATTCATTGACCAATTCTTAAAGATCCCACGTCAGAATTTAATTCTTGCAGAATTTATTAATTATTGATGTGGTTTAACATACATCAGCCAAACTGACACTGCATTGCAATTTCTTGCAAGAAAACATGAATATAATGTTCAATCAGGAAAAATTAATAAAGCTTTGATAGCTATTCACAACTGTTAGATGGACAAAAATTATCTGTGAATTACGGACTTTTGTGTGTTAAATATGGACAAATTTTATTAGAACATTGCAGTACATTTGTTATCTACATGCAAGCAATGTCAGCTAAATGCAGTATTGGCAACATGTCTGTGTTGGCTAAATATCCAGTTGGCTATTATGGCTGTATCCGCTAAATGTCCTGCTGGCTGGCTGAATATATGTGATGGCAAAATGTACATTCAGCTAAGTGTTTTGTTGACATAATGGTTGTCAGCTACATGTCTTTGACCATTTTTTTAATGTCTAAATCCACTGACTTTTTATGACCTAAAATCTGCACAATCGCTGGCCTCAAGTTGAAGCCTTGATTCAAGAATTAAAATAACACACAGACAAAAACAAAATAAATTTGCATATCTGCATACTGAAAAGGAATACCCTTTTAATTTAAATCAAATTGAAATATTCCATTTATTTTTAAAACAAACTGGCTCTTATACAGTTTTAATGTAGAACTAAATTAACAATGCTTTATAGTAAGCATATAAAATATAAGAACAAAAAACAACTGCATGAAAACAGAATTGTTTGCTACTAACCTATTGAAATTATAGCTCTAGCTGGCAGGATTCCATTATCTCCAAATAGACCTAAGATTTAAAAAAAAAAAAAAAAAGAGTAATTACCAATTTAGTAGCAAAGTAAAAAATATTAAAATTATTCACATAATTTTACGTTTAATAACATGCTAACATTAAAAATAATAATATGCAAAGTTAAATTTTAGTTTATAAATGAAAACACAGTATGGTTTGTGATTTTAGTGGCAAATTTTGGTCAATCATAAGCTGATGTTAAAAAGCAAATATTTAATGAAATATATCCACTTACTACAGAACAAATAAGAAATTCCTTGACTTCTTTACACCAAAATATCTTATTAAATCTGTGAATTATAGGTATCACAATTGATTTCTTCTAATCTATCTATGGTCTCGATTGTGACTGGATTTTCAGGATTAAAATCTTTTTCATAATCAAGACCATATTTTATTTCATAAATGATATTATTCAGGTTGCAAGCTGAAAATTAATCCATTCAAAAATTTATTTTTCTCCAGACATAAAACTTATATAATATACCAATAATCATAATAAATAAGGAAAGGAATTGATAAAATTTAGCTTTAAATGTTTTGAGTTTAAAATAACATAATAAATAAAAGTAATACATAAGATACTGTAACATAAATAATACCTAAAAAAGATTTGAAGCCCCAAAACTGTGATTTTCTACTTTTTGATTAATGCCAAAATTGTCTACAGAGGCTGTTCGCACATTTTTTATACAATTCTGATTGCATTTACAAAAATATTTTACCTAAAATTTTTATGGTTTAAATGTCACATTTGATAACCCTTATTCTTCACTATCTTTCTACACTGTAATTTCCAAGAAAGTTTTTTATGGTATCGGAAAAGTATTTTATATCATTCCTCTTGAACAGCTCTTGAAAGCCCACTCCTTAACTTGTTTGTTAATTCCTGGCCACGTGAACCTGGTCGTAAACCTGGCAGCCACCTGTTTGACAGTAGATTTTATGCCAGGATGCGACAAGTTGTGGATTTAATTGAAAATCATCCGCCGAAACTTACGTGGGATATATGGGTGAATTTTATTTGGTGACACTTCACACCATAATGCTTTTCCAGATGAAGGATATATGGCTTAAAATGCAATGAGGTACTATTGGTGCACAATTCTTTAAATTCATTATCCGTACGCTGTTCTTGAGCTGTTTGCTCACAATCAATGACAGAAACAGCTTCGATTCTTGATAAAGCATCAGCGGCAGTGTTATCTTTCCCACTAACATGCTTGATATCTGTGGTGAATTGAGATATGTACTGAAGCAGATGTAATTGTCCTGGAGAAGCTTTTTCACTCTTCTGTTTAAATGCAAATGTTAAAGGTTTGTGATCTGTGAGGATAACAAATTCTCTGCCTTCCAACATGTACTTAAAATGTTTCACAGACAGGTATATACCTAACAGCTCATGATCATATGTGCTGTACGCTTTTTGAGTTTCGTTTAATTTTCTGGAATAGAAGACTATTGGCTTCCAACTTCCATCTTCATATTGCTGTAGTACTGAGTCTACAGCCCAATCTGAAGCGTCTGTGTACAAAGATAATGGAAGTCCAGGTGTTGGAAAACTCAGGAGTGCAGCATCAGCAAGATCTCTTTTGCTTTTTTCAAACTGTTTTATGGCTCCTCTGTCCAAGGAACTGGCCTTCTTTCTTTCTTTTTTGCACCTTTCAGCATTTCATGTAGCAGTGCTTCTGTTTTTGCAGCATCTTTCAAATACCTACGGTAAAAATTCAACATGCCTAGAAATGTATGTAGGTCATGCAAGGTTTTTGGTAATTTGTAATCCAAGATCACTTGAACTTTGGTTGTGATCCTTTGGATGTGATGATGTAGCCCAAGAATTCTATTGGGTCAACACCCATTATAATTTTGCTATGTTAATACGAAGACCATAAGTATTCAGCCTCTCAAAAACTGACTTAAGATGCTCTTTGTGTTCTTCTTTTGATGAGGAAGCCACTAGCACATCATCTAAACATGGAAATAAGAAATTCAGGCTGCAAACAACCTCATTTATAATTCGTATAAACCAAATGGCATAATGATGGCAGTTTTTGGCTTATCTTTTTCCACAATAGGTATTTGATAATAAGCCTTAATAAGATCAATTTTAGAAAAGATAACTTTATTTTGTAAGCTCAAGTTGTAATCCTCTATTCGAGGGATGGGATATCGATCAGGAATAGTTTGCTCGTTTAATCACCTATAATCACCACAGGGACGTAGCGTGCCATCTTTCTTGTTAACTAGGTGGAGTGAACTAGCCCACTGAGATTTTGATGGTTGAATTATATTATTATCCAACATAAACTGAAACTCCTGCTGGAGTAATGTAGTGCTGAACACCATGCTTAACAGATGTACTCAAAATGTTAGGTCTTGTGATATCTGTATATAACTTAAGTAAATCAGAAAATTCTGAAGATTGATCAAAAGTGCTAATGCACTGCTCATCAGTTATAGACATATCACTGTTCACATATAACTGGGTAATACTATCAATCAATTTTCTTTTGTGAATATCATTCAGAAGGTGAAATCTATTTAAAAAGTCAGCACAAATAATTCCTTTACTTACTTTGGCTACCACAAAAGGCCACTGGAATGGCCATCGTAGTCCTAGATCGAGAGTTAAAGTTCTGAATCCAAAAGTTGGGATTTCAGTTCCATTACAATGTGTAGGAGCAAGGTTTTTTTGCTTTTAAATTTGCTGGAATGAGAGATAGATCAACACCACTATCTACTAAAAACCATAAACCCATTTTTCTGTCCTTCACAAATAATCGGGACTCATTGCAGCAGGACTTGCCGCCGATTCTACTGCTGGTTCATGTTTTCCGATTGCTTCCAGCTGCAAGGTTCCTTGCATTTTTCTGGGAAGAACTTCTTGCCAAACTTGAAGTGGTAATAGTAGTACTTACCATTTGGATCGAACCTTTTCCAGGATCTGTTGCGACTCGTACTGCAATTTCCACTGGGGCTCCGATATCACGATCGGGAGTTACGGGCAGTCATATTCTTATTTGAAGTTCAAAAGCAGAAATCTCATTTAAGAGCTCGTCCACCAGAATAGTATTCTTGTTAACACTGGCAAATTCTGATCGTGGTTGCATTTCCAATATTTTATCTGCCATCGTAATTAATTTTTTCAAGTGCTCATCACTTACAATCAGCACGTTTCTCTGCATCCAGCATTTTTTCAAGCCAAAGAGTTTGTAGCACTTTGTCAGAAATATCATTCGTGTCACCGAGTGATCTCATTCTAAGTAGTAGCTGGCTGGGTTTCGTATGACCCAGTTCTAATTCTGTACGGAGACGTTTGATTTTGAAATTTTCACTTTTTTTTAAACGTCTGCATCAAACTCGCTTTAGCAGTGGAGTATTTATTGGCTCTGGCATCCTTTATTATATCCCAGATATTTTCCATTAATCGTGGTTCGAGCTGGACCACGAGGTAACTGAATTTCGTCTCCTCGCTGGTTATTCGGCTAATGGTGAACGAGCTTCCACTTGGTAGAACCAAATTTCTGGTTTGTCGACCCAGAAAGGAGGTATTTTTACACTAACTATGTTAGCCTCAGCCTTATCCTCGACCATGGAAGGCTGTTTGTCAGGCATGATGTCCAGAAGAGAGACCTAAAGGTCACCACATATAGTTACAAATATTATATATGAAAATATAAATTAAGAAAAAGAAATAATACAATACAAAGCATAATATAACACATTTTGTTTTCCAAAATGTTGTTTACAAATAAATAAAAGAATTACACACATTTTAATTAATTTTAGTTCCATAAAATTATTTCAATATTACCATGCTATTTTTAAGCCATTAGATTATACTGACCCATGCTGCCATCTAGTACCCGAGAGCTACGGTACTTCTCCCAACAACCTAGATACACGTTTCTTGTTCCATTTTTTCCCAGGAAATTAACAGTGAATTATGACATATGGCTGCTCTCTTTGTCTTGATGCAGTTCTACTGATTAATAACACTGGGGGTAAACAGGAGGTATTTCATATTTGAAAAATGGGTATAAAAACCTGATAACATGTGAAATTGATATCAGCATTTCTGTCGCTCTCTTTATTTTTAATTTACCGTTGTATGAAACATCAGCAACAATCATAAATTTCTTTCAAAAACTTTCTTCCCTGAGAATTTTTTCTCCGCTTTGACGATAATAAATGGATTTCTTTTTATTGCAGTAGTTTAAATACATCCAAGATTCATCTGTGGTGGCAATTTTTGTCCAGATAAATGTTTCTCATAAAGAATTTTGCAGAGCCTTCTGCGTTCGATGATATGTTGTGGAGAAAGACAACACACATTATGCTTTTCACATTTCTGAGATTCAAATAGGCATTAATTATTTTGTTTCCAGTTGACATTAAGCATTTTAAAGGTCTTGCAAATCTCCTTTGACATGGCAAATTTTCTTATAACATTGAAGATCTTACCTCTATAATAGTCGAAACATTCCGTTTTTTCTTGGATATGTGTTTGGAACAATTTTTCTCCTCGAAGCCGAACATTTTTTCCTTTCTTGTTAACAGTATTATTACCTATCGTAGCTTTACGTACTGAAAAACTATAGCTTTCACAGCATTTTTTAATAATTATATATACAAATAATTTTTTTCGGAGAGAGCACAAACACAGCCTTCCATCAATTACTTCTTTAAAACTGCTATTTTGCATGGAAACAAAACTATAAAGTAGCAGAAAATAATTTATACTTTCAAAAATATAACTACAGTTAAAAAAAAATATTTCCAAACAGTTGACTCTTTTTTTTAAATAGCAAGGCAAAATCATGTAAAAAACATGTGAACAGCCTCTATAGCTTGGAGAAAAGTTAGTCAACCAATAAATCTACAACTTTTCAGTGGGTGTGCAGATAATCAGAAAGCACTAAAATTTCTACCAACTTTGGAGAATTATAAAGAGCTAAAAGTATAATCTAAATTCATTGCTTTAATATAATGAT